GTGGGAGAGACCACAGGGGATGTGCTGGCCCCAGTTGAGGAGGCTGGCTTCTTCCTCCCCCCCCCCCGTAAGGATTTCTGGGGTGGGGGGAATCCCTGCTACTGCTTACAAAATAGCATAGGGAGGCACTGCAGCCTCTTTTGGAGTGGTACCAAGTGGCCACCGCCTGTCTGTGCCCTCTTGTGCCTGGCAGCACAGCCCCTTTTTGCGGCTCTTGCCCCTGTGGCTGGGTGGATCCTTCCTGGGGGGGGGGTTTCCCCCATTTTCAGGGCAGCCGAGGCAGCTGTGCTTGTGCCCTCCTCTTCATCCCACTGCTCCAGTTCCTGAATGAGGCCCTCTTTGGTTCTGGAAGGGAGCAGGCCAGATGACCCTTGCAGAGAGGGGCCAAGCTCTCAGTGTTGGAAATGGAAGTGTAACATGGGTCTTCTGGTTATATGGGAGAAGGGGAAGAAGGAGCTCTTCTGTCTGGGCAACAGGGAGAAGACCTTTGGAAGAGAAAACTGAAACCCACTGTTGCAAAACACGGAGGCCCCTCACTTCAGTGGCTCTCTAAAAGAAAGGGGGGGACCTTTTTCTTTTACCATTGCACAACAGCAGGTATGCTTGGGATTGAAAGTGAAACCTCCATATCAGGAAGTAGTCTACCACTAGCCTAGGATAGGAAGAGAGAAAAAGAGGGAGTGTCGTTCCCGTCCTTTCTCCAGGATTTCTTTCTCCAGGCCTGGAAGATGGGAATCCCGCCCAGAGCCTCCTCCCACCAAGAAGGAGAGTCCCCCTCCTAAATTAGACCTGCCTGATTTTCCTGCCTTTCCCCCCCTTTCCGCCCCCCAACACACACACACACACACACACACACACACACACACAGACACACGCCAGGGCTGGAAGAATGTGATCCAGCCATTCAGCTGCCTCCCTCCCCACGCCCTCTGCTCTCTGGGGAGGAGGCCGCCTGCTGCGAGGGGTGGGGCTGCTCCTCCAGTGATTGGCCTGGGGCAGGGCGGGGGCTGGTGTGCAGCTTCACCCAAGCAGGCAGGAATTGCCTGTCCACCCTGGGCGGAGGCGAGTTGGGGGAGGGGAGCCTGGCAGGGCTCTTGCCCGGCTGCCAGCTGGCCTGCCCCCCCCCCTCTCCTGTTCCCTCCGTGTTGGCTGTCCTTGGAAGAGCGGCCTGGCCTCCAGAATCAGGCACAGCTTGGCAGCTGCACCAATGGTGCAGCACTTTGCATAAGGCCAGAGCAGAAGAGGGCGAGGGGACAGGCCCTGCTGCCCGGTATTTTCCTCCTGGATAAATCTAACCAGGGTTTCAGACAGGGGCTGTTTAAATTAGGACAACTAATTTCAGATGGGGGCTCGCGGGTGGAAGGAAAGCCCTGGGTTCTTGGGGAGGGGGTGCGTGACATTTGTGGAGGACCCAACTGGCTGGCATCTTGGCACAGCATTCCCAGAACCACCTGTGGGCACAAGCTGTGCAGAATGTCCCTCTTCTGGGGGATCAGGGCATTCCGGCTCTCCTCAGGAGAGGACAGATCCGGTTCCATCCACTGTCCCCCTCTTTAAGCAGGTAGAAAAGGGAGGATCCTGCACAGCGAGGTGCCAAAGCCTTGGGAACAGTGTCTCTGCGGGGGTCTATACCCAGATGCCTTGATTTCTTTTCTGCTTTCACCCTCAGCCAGTTAAAAGATTAACTCATCTCTGGCTCTGCCAGGCACTTGCTCCCAGCTTTTCCAGACATTTGAAAAACAGGGATAATGGGGGAGGGGGCTACTATTTATTTTCTGGGGACTTCTCTTTCTCCAGGTGGAAGAGAACCTGAGGTCTAGCATCTGCTCTTTCTTCCAACTGGATGCCTTTTTGAGGGGAGAGGGTGAGATTACCAACGCCAAGTGGGCTACCGGAAGCCAAGGCTGGGCGGTGCCTCTTGCTGCAGCCCCTGCAGGGATCTGGTGGGCTCCGCAAAGTTGCAGTGAGGATGACCAGCATCACCAGGAGCAAAGACCCCGGCCCAGGTTGCTTCCTACTGCACCTGGGGTTTCTGCCTGGAGAAGAATATGGTGTTGATGGGGTTAGCTGGACTAACAGCTTTAAAACAAAGTCCACAAACCTCGTCTGTCACCCCAAAGCCACTACCGGCTGCAGATTGGACTCATAGCCCACCCCGAGGCAGAGGCGGGTGGGTGCTTTTGTGCGATAGGTCTCCTGGGGACGCTTGCTGCATGGAGGGGGGAGGGGCAGGCAGGGGGCCCTGGGGGGCGATGTCCCTCCCGGCCGAGCAAAACTGGGGCGGCGCAATGAGCGCGAAGCGGGGCAAGGAGGGCGCTCTCCTCTTGGACCCGCTTCTCTCGCGGGCGCCTGCCCGTCCAGTAAAGCGGGAACGGCTCTTCGGGGCCACAGGTCTTGGCGCCAGATGAAATGGTTTGCGGGCGGGCTTCGGGACTTTCCCTGGCGCCGGTGCTGAGCATCCACACGGTCGTGGAGTGCACGGGCAAAGCAGCCAAAGGGCCGCGCGCGGGCTTGGCCGATCGTTCTCGTTGCTAGCCTACTTCGCGACTGAACGCGGACCGCGAAGCAAGTTTTGGCACGCGGTCCCGGCGGGGACCCACACCCGGCCGGCCCTTAGCGCGCCTGCCCTCCCCCACCCGGGGCGGGTCGGTCCACCTGCAGGGGCTCGGCCGACGGGACCGACCTACCCCGCGAGCCCGGTCGCCCTCCGCAACCCTGGGCGGGCTTGCCGCGGCCAGCGCCGGGCGGAGCTCCCCAAACGCCAGCGCCGCCGCCGCCGCCTCTTTGGCCGGACCCTCCCCAGGGTGGGGCTGCCACGAGGGCGCACCCACCCGCCCATCCGGCAGACGCCGGAGGCAGAGCGCGCAGCCCGCTGCGGAGCGAGGAGAAGGGGGAGCCGCCGAAACCCGTCGCGTAGCCGGTCAGCCAGCCCGCCACTTGCCGGCTCGGGATGATCCTGCCCGCGGACAGGTCGAGCGCCGCGCGGGGGGCCCGGCTGGTGAGTGCGCCGCGGGGAGAGGCGGAGCGCCCTCGCCCGTCCCGGCGGCAGGAAGCGGCGCGCTCGGGAGGCAGGTGGCGATGCCGCGGGGGAGGGGAGCGCTTGGCCCACCTGGGCGAATGGGACGCCGCCCGCTCGGGCCCCGCCGAAGCGGTCTGGCTGCGTTGGGCTGCCAGGCGCTCGCCAGGCTCGCAGGGCCGATGGGGCCCAATGCGGGCGCCGGGCGGGGCTTCTCTGGAGCCCAGGAAGGGTGGGGAGGGGGCGCAAGGCAATCCTCCCACCCTCGTGCCCCCGTTGCAGGCCGGAGGCATCCGTTTGATTAGCTGCCAGGCTGCCCCTCGGTTTCGGGGTCCAGCCCCTCTCGGCCTCCCTGCATTTTCGGAGCTGATCTGTTGACAGGGAGCATCGGTGACAGCTGGCGGGACCTCCGTGGGTCGCGGCCGCCCTGGGACGGGGAGAGTGTCTGGGTGAGGGTGGGCTTTTCCTTGAGGCAGTGAGCCGTTCGCCTGCGCTCTCCTCCTCCCGGGCTCTCTGATCGGCTCTGAACTGAAGAGAGACAGGAGGGATCCAAGCTCTCTCGGTTTAGCACCCCTTGGATGGAGGAGGGGCAGGTTTGTGGTGTCTGCAAGTGCCCTTTGGTGGCAGGTGCCGGTTCAAGACTAAACACCTGGCCAGGTGGGCTCCTTCCTGTCCCCTTTATAAGTGAGAAAAGGGCAGAGGCCACCTGCGGAAGAGCTGCAGGCCCTTCAGGGAAGTCTTCCCAAGAGTTGACCAGAGGAGAGTCAGACGAGCAGTGGTTGTTCAGGGCACAGGACGCTGGAGGGAGTCCCTCCACACTAAAACCCACTTTTAGTTTTGCCCTGTGGAAGCGGAGTCTCTGTGCTGCTGCTGCTATGGGTAATGGTAGGAAAGGGCTGCTGATGGGGGGTGGGTGTCAACTCCTCCCATCCTGGCTCAGGAGCAATAATGCCCCCACCCTGCTAGAAGATGGAGGCTCATGGACTGTGCAGAGGAGAGCAGCTTTTTCACCACCACCACCACCACCACCACCACCCCCATCCTTTGTGACTTCTTGGCTGCTCCTCAAAAGGTTCTGCCGAGTGCTGGATCCCCTCCCTTCCGCCTCTCCCTCCTCCTGCTCTGGGCTGAGCTCTTCCTCGGACTGGAATGAAAGACTGCTGGGGCGACATCGCCCCCCCCCCACCGCCCAGTGATTTCCTCATTGACCCCTGTTGGCTAGTGGGGAGAGGCTGGAACTTGGGGGCAGGGGGTTCAGCTTTAATTTCCTAAAACTACCCCTCCCTGAGCATAAGGAAGAGTGCTGCCCTTCACTCTGCCCCCCCCCCCACACACCCAGCAGCTCTTATTCTCACTTCCCTGGCATTCGCGACAGAGATCCTGTGGTTCAGATTGCTGCCCAGCAGGTGGAGTGGAGAGTGGAGCTGCCTCTCTGGGCTCTCTTTCTCCAGGCCATCCAGACTGACCCTCCCAGAGAAGGAAGGGGTCCTCTATAATGGAGGTGGGCCTGACTCAGGAAGCCAAACAGTCATGGGGGCTCCTATGAGAAGCTGTGGCCTCGTCCTGCTCTCAAACTGGGGCTAAGCAAGCCCTCTGCAGGCCTTAGGTGTGGAGAAGGAGGAGGGGGGAGAGGAGGGGGAGGAGGAGGAGAACCAGGGTGCTCTGCACTCCTTGGCTCTCTGCTCCTGCAATCCCCATTGGCCCTGGGGAGCACTGCATGGGGGGGTCCATGCACATCAGGGCTCCTTTAAAGGCTCCTGCTGAGATACAGATGCTCTGCAGGAGAAACTAGCAAACGCATCTGCAAAGCCGGGAGGCTGTAACTCTGCTTCTCTCCCTGTTTCTGGGGGCAAGGGAGTCCAGGATCCAACTTGGTTCTGTAGTGTTGGCAACCGACTCATCTGAAGGGTTTCCAGGCAGGGTGTGTGTGCTGAGCGAGGAGGAGCTGATGGCCAAGGGAAGGGAGGGGCAGTGGGTGGGTAGGCTGCGGATTAAAGCAGCAGGGGGAAGGAGTGGCAGAACAGCAGGTGCTGGTGGATGCTTGGCAGAAGTGCACTGGGAGGGTCTGGCAAGGGAGAAGCCCCTGACTCGGGTGGTTGGAAAGATTCTGCATCCTGTGGAGTTTCTTGCATGAGTCTGGTGGAAAAGCAAGACCCTTTTTAATATACCCTTTTTGCTTTATGGATAGAAAATATATATGGATCATTACATAAAAGGCTGAGCTTTCTCTGGTAAAAAAATTCTCTGTGATGGCACCTGCCCCCCTCTCCCCGCCTGCAGCCTTAAACTGCAAATAGAAGCAGGCTGGGCGGTCACTCCTCCTCAGCCAGAGGGCATCTGGTGTAACGGGGACGCTTGTGGGCCAGGCTTGAAAATCAGAATTAACCCATTGATGCCGGAGGTGGAGAGGCAGCCCCAGAGTGCAGCAGCGCCCCCTGCAGCTGCCCCCAATCCGGGGGAAGCAGAGTGGGGTTCTGTGCCCCATGACTGTCTCTGAGAGACCCTCACGGAGGTTGCAGTGACTCAGCTCTGGCAGATGCAACCCTCTGCAGCTGGGCACCTGGCCATCATGGCGGCCACTTCTGAAAGTCAAGAGGGGAACCAAAACCTCCACACAAATGGCTTAATCTCATCTAAGGGCCCACCTGGGTTTAGCAGCGCTGCAGCCTTCTCAGAGGGGCCTCCAGCAGCCTGTGTGAGAGGGCTGCTCCCCCAGAAAAGCTGTGCAGCCTGCTTATCCTCTGCTCAAAGCAAAGCAGGGAAGGGAGGGGAGGGGGGAGGCTGCTTGTCCCAGACCCTGAAAGGCTGGGACAGCATGAGCCCATCCAGAAAGTTTGGGGAAGGACACCTGCCTCGCCCTGCCAGGGGAGGAGCTTGTGTGGGACTTGCTGGTTTGACCATTCCTGGGCAGGTCTCGCAGCACCAAAGGGAGGACTCTCCAGTTGGAGCTTTGCATCCAAAGCCCCTGGAAAACAGCCATGCAGCTCCTTGCCCCCTGCCCTTCACCCTCGCCCCTCTGGCCAGCTGGACCACAGTCCTTCTCCACCCCCCTGGGCCAGCCCTGATCCACTGCCAATCCACTGCTGGACTGCCTCCAACCCCTCCCCACCTTGCTGCTTTCGGGGCTGGGAGATTTGCCTCCCTCCAAGTACTGGGGGGGGCCTCCTCAGCCTGGCTTGGCATTAACCCCTCCAGTTCCTCCAGCTTGCTTGGTCCTCTCCCTCCTGCCTTTGGATCAGTCGAATTTTGGGGGTTCCTCCTTCCCAAGTCCCTTGGGGGCAGGAGCCATCAGGGTTCTGTGTGGTCCCAGGGGCTGGAGGTTTGTATGGGCAACCTGGATGCTGAAGCGGTTTCCTGCATGTGGGGAGAGGCTGTTCCCAGGACGCCTGGAGCCCAGTGCAGATCCGTTTCTGGGCTGGGGGCCTCTTACGCTCCTTTCCTTTCGCCTTTGCAGTTGGCAGGGCCAGCCCAGGGCAAGGCCCAGCCCAGGATGAGTTCCTCCTCGCTGCTGGGGGAGAGCTCCCTCGAGCCCCCGGTGCTGCTGAGTGACATCAAGACGGAGCCCCCCGAAGAGCTGCTGGCGACCGACTGCAACCAGCCTCAGGCCGAGCCGGTGGACCTGTCCCTGCATAAGCCCAAAGGCTCCCTGCAGCCTCCCACCATCCGCTCAACGCCCCTGCCAGCTGCACTGCCGGCCCCCGTGGTGTCCATGTCCCCTGCTGGGCTGGGCTCCTCAGCCATCCCCGCTGTACTCTCCCCTGGCTCCATCCTGGCATCCACGCAGGGCAGTGGCGGGCAGCAGATTCTGCACGTCATCCACACCATCCCTTCGGTCAACCTGCCCAGCAAGATGGGTAACCTCCAGACCATCCCAGTGGTGGTGCAGTCCCTGCCTGTGGTCTACACTACCATGCCCAGCGACGGCGTCACTGCTGCCATCACGGTGCCCCTGATCGGGGGAGACGGCAAGAACGCTGGATCTGGTGAGCTCTGCCTGCCATCTTGCCACTTATCCTGAGACTGGGAAGGGTGGGCATCGGTCTCCCTCTTGCTGCCTGCAATGGGAGCCTCCCTGTTCTGGCCCCCTGGGTGTGACCCATCCAAGCTTGAGGGCAGTTTCTCTGGACCACCAGAAGGGTTCTCTCCTCTCCCTCCCTCCCTCCCTCCCTGATCATGTTGGAAAGAGGGGGGCTACGAGGCTGGAGGTCTCTGGATGTGCTCCTCTGAGGCCCTGCAGTCCAGGAAGGAGTCACCTTTCCTTGGGGGGGGCTGAGCAGAAGAGGAATGCTGGGCTTGCAGACCTCCCTGAATATGCCGTGTGAGATAAATAGGAGTGCTCCCTTGCACTGGAAGTGGAGTGCCCCCCTCTGCACCAAGGACAAGGTTGTCACACTGTGTCTTCATGGCAGAACTTTCCAGGGGGTGGAGTGGAGGAGGTGAGTGGGGGGCAGTTGTAATAGGAGCCCTCTGCCCTGACGCTCACGCCTGCTGCCGTTGGCAAGGGGCTCTGCTGCAGCTCCAACAGGCCGGTTTTCAGTTTCTTGAGCAGCTGCCAGCCTGACCTCTGACAGGGTCTCTGTTCCTCCGGCAGTGAAAGTCGACCCCAGTTCCATGTGCCCCGTGGAGATCCAGAGCGACAGTGAGGACAGCGCCTCGGAGAGCGGGCCGGCCTCCTTCCCTGACCCACAGAAAGAGTGAGTCACAGTCCAGTCAGAGGTGGGGATGCAGTTCTGGCAGGTACTCCCGGAGCGCCCTCTGAACGCCGTGGCTCTCCAAATGTCTTTGCCAGGCTGTTGGGGGGCAGACCACCCCGGACGGAGTCACCAGACCTGAAGAAGAGGCGGACCCACCAATGCGACTTCGAGGGGTGCAACAAAGTTTACACCAAGAGCTCCCACTTGAAAGCACACCGGAGGATACACACTGGTGGGTGCTCGGGGGGGGCAGGGGCACTGCCCTGCAGCCACACTCTTCTCAGGATCACCCCTGGATTCCTTAATGCCTATTACATGCCAGAGACAAACCCCCCCCCGTGGGAGGTGGGATTAAGCAGCCATTAAGACCCATCCTTTGCCCCTTTTGGCCCCACCGGGTGGCTCCCTCGACTGGGTGGCTCCCTGTGGATGCCCACCCCAAGCCCCTCCCCCCCTGCTAAAATTGAAGGTGGCTTTTCTGAGCCCGTCTTCAGCCTGCTCTACTCCCGTGGGCCTGAGACTGCTAGTTCTTCCCCTTGCCCACAAGGCATCCTAGCAACGAATTCGAATTCGGTCCATGGATCCTCCCACATACGTTTCCTAGCAACCTGTTCCATCTTTCAGGCTGGAATCCTTTTAGCCGAGTCTCCTAGCAACCCCTTCCCCGCACAATCCCACCTGCTCTCTCCCAAAGCACATCCTTTGCCAGCTCTCTACATCCCTCTGTCATCCCTGGAATGCGAGGCCGGCTGGGCTGGCACCCAAACCCATGGCCTCTGGGCTCAAGAAGCTGCCCCTGGGCCTGTGTCTTCCCTCCTGCCCATGGCACAGACCAGCTGCCTCCCTCCTACATTGCACAGGTGGTGGGCAACAGCCAGGGGCAAGCACACATTTGCCCTGCACACAAGGGCTTCATTCTGAAGGAGGAAAAGAGGAGGATCTTGAAAAGGCAGCCTACTCTTTCTTCTCCCGCCATGGCCCAGGCTGCCAAAGGGGGGGGGGCGTTGAGGAGAAGGAGGCAGAGACGGAGCATCCAAGCTCATTGCTGCATCAGCACCAGGCAATCAGCTGGCCAGCTGGCTGCTGCTTCTTTATTTTTATCCCACCATTATTTGCAAAGAGGGCAGATTTGGTCTTCAGTATTTCCAGTGAAGAGGGTCTGTCCTTCTGCCCAGGTGTGGGAGGGGGCTGTCTGCCTGCCGGATCCACATCAGAGGCACGATGGAGCACCTTCCCTTTCTCTGACTTTCCCCACATCAGAAAAGCACAATGATCCTCTGGCTACTGCCGTGGGTCCTCTCGGAAGGCTGGGCCTGGGCCTGGGGGCCGGGGGAGAGAGAGTGGCCCAAGGGAGCCTCTACACAGCTGAGTCTGTCCAAGGTTGATGTCCGTCTCTCTCTGACCCCACTCATCAGTTGTGCTGCAGGGACCAAAATGCACCCAGCATAAATTGGGTGAGTTGTCCCATGCCCGTCACTCCCTTTTCTCCCTGCAGGAGAGAAACCCTACAGGTGCACCTGGGAGGGCTGCACCTGGAAGTTTGCTCGCTCTGATGAGCTGACCAGGCATTTCCGCAAGCACACGGGCATCAAGCCCTTCCGCTGCTCGGACTGCGACCGCAGCTTCTCACGTTCCGACCACCTGGCTCTGCACCGCCGGAGGCACATCATGATGTGAGCAGGGCAGTGGTGCGCAGCCTGCATCCCATCAGCCCCTGAAGCAGCTCCCCTTGGTGAGCGGGGCCTCGGCAACCAGGCAGGAGCCACCAACCCAGCGGTTTGCACAGAAAGAGCCTTAGTGCCGTCTGCGCGTCCCCAAAGATTGGTCTTCGGTCTCCATGGCTGGGCAGCTTCAGGGTCTTGGGAGAATCCAGAGCTCCAGAGCCAAGCAAGGGACACTGGTGGGTTGCTGGAAGAGACGGGTCGTCGTGCAGAGGGGCTCCTGCAGTTGGACTCAGGCCAGGAAACTGCCAAAAGGGGGCTCCTTGGGGGAGCTTGTGTCATGCCCAAGCACGGGGACCTTCTCTACGTGGCCGGGTGGTTCCCAGGTCTCGGCCTACACTTCTTGCTCACAGCACAAGAACAGAAATCCCAGGAAGTAACCTGTGTGCTGGACAGGGAGGTGGGCTTGGGGTTGATTGCTTTTAACTACACTTTTATGAGCACTGAAACAAAGTCTGTGTCTGAATTCTGGTTTGGAATCCTCTCCCCCCAAGACCCCCCAGGCGGGACTAATTTGCTTCTGGACGGGCCAGGCGGGATGGATGGATTGCGCACAGCCCTCCCTTTGCATCGTCCCCTTCCCGCTCAGGACTGCAGCTCTCCTCTCAAGAGACACTTTGAATCCAAGATCAACTTTTTTTGAATTTTAAAACTTTATTGCATTTGGGGAAAGGGAAAGGGAGGGGCGCCACTCTGATCAAAGCGTGGCACAGCTGAGCCCCTCCTGTCCACCAGAGCCCTACTCGGAAGAGAACCTGGCTTGGTGGGGAAGGGGGCAGAGGGGCTAGGCAGAGGAAGAAGTTGGGGAATGCAGAACTGTGACACCCCCTCAAATGAGGGCGGTGGTGGTTCCTAACAGTAATTCTGCCACAAAGTCAGGAAGGGCAGATAAATTTTGAACCTGCTACCTGCAACTGGATGCATTTCTGTATATAGTTCAACAGGGGGCGCTGTGGGGGAGTGGGCTGAGGTGGTCTCCCTGCTGAGATTTTGAGAACTTGCTTTCCTTTCTGTCACTTTGATCAGATCTGGGGATGTCCTTCCAAACTGCGTCCCTGTGCAGGTGTGTGTATGTGAGTGAGGCTGCTGTTATTTGTTGGCCTTCCCAGGTGTGAACTGAACTGGTGACTTTCAAGAAGTGGAACAAGTTTTGGGGAGGAAGGAGAGGAGCTTTTCCACCTGTTGGGTGCTGATGCTCACTTTGGAGTCAGAAGTGGGGGGAGGGCGCAGGAGGGCTCCGGTGGGAGAGGAGCAATGGGAGGATGCAGCCCAATGTTGCATTCCTGCACCTGCTGGCCTTTGGGGCTGGGGATTCCCTGTGCAAAGGGTGAGCGCTGCCATGGGGCAGGGCGCCCATTGACCAGCTGCTGTCACGTTGAATTGCAGCTGGGACAGGGAGCTGCTTCCAACTCTGGTTCTCCCCCTTCCACAGCTGCCTCCCTGCAGCTGGACCTCCCACACACCCGGTCAGCTGTACTTCTGGGCAACCTGGCTTGTCCTTCTTTTCCGTGGCACAGCAGGGCCTGGTCTTGGGTGGGTCTGTCTCCTCTGACTGCTGCCTCTGGTCCGCCTTGCGTGTCGGGATGGCCTTCCTGCTGCTGCTTCGCCGGAAAAGGAGAGCCCTGGGCTCCTCAGCCTTTGGAGCCAGCCTGCCCAGTTGCCGGTTCTGGCCACGCTCTAGTCAGCTGATCACCAAGGGAGCCTCATCTCGCTGTCCAGAAGAAGCCCCCAATTTCCTCAGGCCTCACCGAGTACCCTGGGCTCCCCAGGGCTGGAAATCTGGGCCTCCCTTCAGGGCCAGGCAGGGGAGGCTCCCCGCTTGCTTTGTTGGTGCAAGGTGGTGTCCCTTTTCTACCAACAGAGGGCGCTGTAGGCTTGTTGGCTTCTCATGTTGGCTGAAGATGCCTTATGAGTTGTGACCCCCTCATGGGGGTCTCAGTTCCCACAAGCCTGGTGGAGCTGGCTCCTTGCGCCTGGTGTCCCCCCCCCACCTCCCAGAAGAGAAGCTGGAGTTTGCGAGAGAACCATTTTGCTCTGTCCCTCCCGTATGACAAGCTGCCAGCTTTAACAAACAATATTTCCCGAAGTGGGTTTTGAGATATTCTACTGCCTCCTCCTGCCTTGGACGGGCATTTGACAAGCTCTGGATTACAGTGCAAGGTTTGGAGGGGGGGGGCGAGCCCGCTTGACTTTTGAACCTCTTGCAATATTGTGGGTGGTCAGAATGCCTGGTTGGTGAAGACTTTGGTCTGCTGTTCCCTTTGATCCTAGGCAGACTGTAGTTAAACAGCAAAGAAGCAGTAGTGAGATCGGTATTATTATAACTGGGCAGACTGTTGCCTGAAATGCCTGGCATAAAGTGCAGCCCTGCGAAGAAGGCCGGGGGCTCCGAGGTTTCGATTCACTCTCAGCACTGGAGATGCAGGGCTGAACTTAGGGCCAGTTGCTCTCCCTTTGCTAAACTTGCCCCACAACATTTTTGTGTTGGGAAAACAGCCTTTGAACTGCACTAAGATACAAATGACACAGGAAATGCGCTGCTGCCAGATAAGCTCCATCCCCCACCCCCCATTGGGGATGCTCCCTTACCCTTGACCAAAGGTGGAAATTGTTCATCTTAAAACTAAGTGTTTTAGTTAAAACTAAATGTGGGGAGTCCAAAGAAAATGCATCCCAGCCCTGAATGGTGGCTCAGAGCCAGAGATGCAAGTCAGCATGGCAAAAGTCTGCCATCCCTCCACTGGGGCTGAGGAGAGCAGCTTGCCTCAGGAACAGGAATTCTCTGCTGGAAAACGCTCACCTGGAGGGCAGAAGAAACTTCCAAAGATACTTTAAAAGCCACTCTGAAGTCTCTTGACTAGGCATGGCCACTGGGAGACGCTAGCACAAAATACCTGGCATGGCCTCATCCACAAGGGCTGTTGAGTTCACAAAAGTAGGCACACTGCAGAAGCGCATGTGTGCTGCAGAGGTTTAGAGCCATCAGTGCAACAACTGCGCGCTATCCGTACATGTGTGCCAGACCATCCCTTGCCTGGGCTGGCCTGACCCGTCAGCTTTGGACTCCCCACATTTAGTTTTAACACAACCAGTGGCGCTGAGGCCTTTGTTGACAACAACTGACAAGCAACGGCAGCTGCTCAAGGACAGTTTGAGCCCAGTCCGAAGGAGCACAAGGAGAGCCGAGCCGAGGCTCACCCCTTTATGGCAGGAGCACCTGGGGGAAAGGAGAGGGGGCGAAATTCCCGCAGGAGCCAAGGAAGCCAGATGGGCCACTTCATGCTTTCTCTTTATTTATTCTTGAAACAAAAGTTGAGGCGGCAAGTCATTTTTAGGCTCATCTGCCCAGGTGTGGAGGGAACATGGGAGAAGGAATCCCCAGCAGGAGGAGAGGAGGCGTGAGTATGGGGCAAGTGGGTCCGAAGGGGGATCTGGGTTTGGGAGCCTGAGGGTTACCCCATCGTCACCAAAGGGTGTTTTGCAAAAGTGTGTTATGGTGACAACAGCCCTTTTTCATCTGCCAGAGTTCACATGCTCAGATTCAATTTACATATGTAAAAAAAGCAATATCATCCTTTTAGGTTGCATATACAAAAATCTGTACAACTATCTTTCCTATACATAGATGCCCCACCTGTGGGGGGCGGTTGGTAAGCAAAGCCATAGGAGCCTTTTCTGGGCCAGCTGTTTCCTCCTCTCCCCTGCCGACGTCTCAGCCCCGGCTCCTCGCTGCCCTCCTGCCAGGCCAGAAGCAGCTCTGGTCACCCTTGAAGACCCTTCTTGCCTGTAGGGGGGGGGGGCTGCTGGGAGTTCCCCAGCATGGACAGCTGGCCTGGTGGAAGTGGGTGTGTGATTGCCGGCAGGGGTTGGGCAGCAAGGCTAATCCAGGCCCTGCTTGGTCAGCTGAACCCAAAGCGCAGATGGGGGGGGGGGTTGCATGTTTGGGAACTGGAAGTCGCTCAGTGCGGGAAGCGCTGTGAAGAAATATTTGAGTAGCAAAGCAAAAAGGGGTGTTTTCAAAGCAGCGTCCAGCCTGTTGGTTCAATATGCCTCCCAAATTCCACTTACATATGGCTAATCAATATGCCTCAAAAAGGTTTGATCTGCATCCTCAAAAGTTCTGTGTGATTAAGGAGAGGAAATGAGGTTCAGCGGCTCTTTTAGAGAAGGTGATTGAAAAAAGTGCTAAGAATTAAGGCAAATGTTTGCACAAACTTGGAACTTGTTAAAAAGTTGAAAAATCCATTTTCTTCTAAGACTCAATTTTGCAGGATGCCTACCAATTAACCAAGCAGCCACAGTTATGATCCAAAACAAAGCTTTTGAAATCCCATTGATTTTAGCTACACATTTAGCATGTGCTCACTTCACTGAAACCAAGGAAACATCCAGGTGGAGAGACACAATCTAGTCAAATGAAGCCCTTTTGAGGCAATCCTGTTCCATATTTACCTATTCTGTGAAAAGGAACACTCTTTCTCTGTTCCCTGTAAACTGCAAGGATTCCTGACTGGAATGGAAAACAAGACTTCTGCTGCATTTTGCTTGATGCCACCAGAGAAGCAGCTGGGCTGGGTGCCAGACGGTGAATCCGGGGGACCTTGCCAGGCTCAAGGTATGCATTCAAACGTGCAAGCAAGACCGGGGCTACCCTGCTTCAGCAGTCTCTTGCAGAAAAAGATTTGGCACTGAGCTGGCCACGCATGTGCCAGCTGCCACACAGGGCCTCTTGCCGCCAAAAAAAGCTCTTGGCTGTGCCAGAGTTGGCAAGAGGCCCCTGGCTGGAGTTCCCCAAGGCTGACGGGGTGTGGATGGGACCATGAAAGGCCAAGTGCCCCGGTGGGCAAAATCGAGGTCAAGAGGGAGATGCCAACCTTGGAATCAGGCCAGCCTTTAATGCCCCTTATAAGCAGGATCAAAGACAGAGCAAAGGAGGAACGGATGGCTTCCTCGGCTTTCTCCACAGTGAGTCCAGGCACACCAAGATGTCGGCTTCCAGAAGTGAAGGCCTTGAGAGTGGGGGGGTCCAGTGACACAATGGGGGGCGCCTCCCCTAGAGATTTCTGGGATAATTTGTTCTCTACTTTGTTGCTGCTGTCCTGGCTGTTTCCCACTCTGAGTGAAAGTGCTGCCTGAAACGTCTGTGAACCTGGTGCAGCAAAAGGGAGGGAGAAAAGAAAAAGAGGAACGTTTGACAGCCATTTGCTCAGGGCAGGTTGCGAGGATGAGCCCCCCCCCCCAGGAGATCACCTTCCCCAATGTGGGAAGAAGCGATTCAACTCGAAAGCAGGCCAGAAGGGTGTGGATGGACATTTAAGAGGTTTTGGCAAAATAATGAAGTTCACTTCCAATTCTTTCTGTTGATAAGGAAGCTGTAGGTGCAAAACATTGGGATTTTTTCCCCCTCAGCTGCAGAAACAGCAATTTAAGCCACAATTTAATTTGTGCTGCTTTGATCCTTCAAGCAAGCCAAGGCCAGTGATATTCCATGTGTCTTGCAAGAGCTGAGAGTGGCTCAACGGCCAACATCCTTCTGATGCTCCATAGGTCCCACACCTTCCAATGGTCAGGACTCAACAGGCTAGTTTTATGGAGGCAGAAATAAATAGGGATGTCCTATTGCCTGCTCAGTCTTCCTTGCTGGGCATCACCAGGTGTCAAAGGCAGAGGTGGTGCCCCCACGCCTGGCCTTGACCTCCGTGCAGCCGGGGCGGGACGGAGGGCCACAGGGCGGCTCTGCTGAAAGGAGGCTGTGCCTCAGGCCTAGTTCTGGTGCCGCTTCATGTGCAGAGCCAGGTGGTCCGAGCGGGAGAAGCAGCGGCCACAGGCCAGGCACTTGAAGGGCTTGGCTCCGGTGTGCTTGCGGTAGTGTCGGGTGAGCTCATCCGAGCGGGCAAAGCGCCAGTCGCAGCCTTCCCAGCTGCACCGGTAGGGCTTCTCACCTGGGATGAAAGAAAACAGGAGCCTGTCACTCACAAGGAAGGCTTGACAGCTGCCCACCCTGCTTTCCCTGAGTGGGCCTGGGGGGGTGCTGTGTCCACTGACCCCCAGCAGCTCCAAGAGGGCTGGTGAGCAGTTGCAGGGAGAGGAGGAGATGGCGAGGGGTGGAACGGGAAGAGCCAGGAAGTTGCTGGCAGAAGAGCTGGGAGTGGCTAGAAAAGAAGCCAGGAATTGGCAAAGGAAGAAGGGCTGAAATTGGCTTGCCCTCTGTAAAAGCTAATCCAGTTCTAAAACAGGGGTTCTAAGGCCGGCAGGAGAGCCCCCTGGGTGCCCCCTTGGTGACAGGAGTGGGGCTGCTGAGCCCACCAGATGCGCACAACTCCCATGGCCCAATCCAGCCGAGAGAAGGCGGTGTGTGGCTCTCTTGTCACAGGCAACAGGGCGCATTTGGCAGCCAACGCAGTGCGAGCGACTCTCTTTGGGTGAGGGTTTTTTTGAATCTTGGGGTGGGAAGGTGGCCTTCCAAATAAGGCAGCAGCTGCTGTTTACACCCAGTTGCAAATTGCCCCACATTTCTTGTGTGTCTTCAGAGGGAAAGCTGGATCTCTTCCTGTTCAACACCCAGAATATGCTGGTGTGGGGGATGTGGGTTGGGGACAATGGGGCACTCCACACGAGAGATGCCATTTTTCTGTGTTCCATTCCCCCGCTCAAAGGGGTTCCCCAAAGGTCTCCCTCCAGCCCATCCTCTTTCCCAGAGCAGCGATGTAAGGGGATTAGTGATGCCCTGAAACACCCGGCTGAAGGCCTTCACCGCCGTGTGTGGCAGCATCATGGATGTTCTGCGTGGCTCCTTAGCATGTGCCTTGAAGACCATGCCTGCATCTTGGCAGGCAGGTACTGCCCTTTTGCTCCTGAACCAGCTGAGGCCTGAGCAGAATTTAGCCCAGGTGGAGCCGAAGGAGAAACCTCCAGGGAGTGTTACAGCCTTCCTGTGCCAGTTTGTGCGAACCACATTGGCAGGCTGCTTTCCGGGCTTTGTGAGTCAAAGCCATTGTCCCTGGAAGGTCACACTCTGCTTCAAACAATACCGGAACAAGTTTCCGGGATTGAAACCGAATGTTCGCAATTGTCCCCACAGCAGCTCCTTACCAGGGCAGCCTGTCAGGGCAACTGCAAACAATGGGCCCTGGAAAAGTGGCTGAGGGTGGATGTAATTCCCAAGCCTGATGGAGCAAAAAAGAAGACCCTCCTTGTGGTTGAGGGTGGTGAGGGATTCCTTAGCCCCCCCCAAAAAAGGTCTTCTGCACTGCCCTAAGGTCACCATCTTGCTGGGGCTCCAGCCTGCCTCTGTCAGAAGTGCAGAGTCTCCTGCAGCTCTCTTAGGACCTTCCAGAGGGTGGCTGAGCTCCTCCTCCAGAGAAGCCACCAGGCCTTCTGACTGCATGCAGGAGCTGCCCCCCCTCCACTCCTCTCCTGTGCCGATTCTCTTGATTCTCTCGAGGGACCTTCAGACACTTGACCGAGTTTAGGCCGCAGGCACTTGACCGAGTTTAGGCCGCAGGCTGCGCACGGAGGGGCGGTCCCTGGCCTTGTTCAGCTGCTGAACGTCTTCAGAAATTGTAGGGAAATTGCATGGCCCTTTGGAATTGCACTCTCTGTTTGCAGTCGGAGTGGAAGCCTTCCGTTCTCACCCTTCAACCCCAAAATAGGGCTCAAACTCCAGGGCTGGAAAGGAAGGGGCTGGGCACTCTTGCTTTGGCCTTCCTGGCAAAGCAGGAAGGGATGGAAGAGGAGGACACCTCTCTTCCAGGGGCCACAACATGCCCCTGGACAGCTCCTGTTTGCTGCAGCCCTCCCAGACAACAATGTGAGAGTCCAGCCCACCCTCCATGCTGCCCAGTGCCTGGCTCTGCCTTTGCAGCAGGTTTTTCCAAGGCTCCAGTCCCTGTCTGTTTTCAGAACAGCAGTAGCTCTTGGGAAATGGAAACCCCCCCTGCCTGCCAAACAAATATTTTCTGTCTGAGGACTCAGAAAGATGGTGTGCATTTTGAGAAAAGGTCTGCCTCTTGCCACGTCAACTTACCAGTGTGAGTCCTCTGGTGCGCCTTCAGGTGTGAACTCTTGGTGTAAACCTTGGTGCACCCTGGGAAAAATCAGAAGGAAGAATGAATGGCTGAGCACCTAGAGGCTGCTGGCACAGAGCCAAGACGAAGGAGCAGTGCAGAGACTGGAAGATCAGTGAGTGGAGAGGCCGATGGGTCCTTGTTAGGCCCAGAGCTGCTCCTGAGGGGTTCCGTTCCCTGCCTCTTTTTCTCCCTTCTTCCTTCCTCATTGCTCAAGGTGTGATTAGGGGGCTGCCAGTAGGAGCTTTACCTAAAGGCCCATCCCTCCTTTTCATGAAACCTCTCCCGCTCTGCACATTTTTCAGAGTTTTTGTGACTTTAGTGGGGAGCCCCTGCATTAAAACTAAGGGACCCCCAGCTCCCTAAAATCTCATCCCTACAAGAACTGAATTCAAGGTTAAGGGAAACAACGTGTATTGCCTTTGCCCTGAGACAGCCAAAATACTGCTCCAGTTTCAGTTAGATTGGTGCCAATTGTGCATGGGGGGGGGGGCGAAGGAAAATTAGCCAGACTGAAAGGTTGTCAAACTCCTACCGGGATAGTCACAGTGGTGGATCCTTCTCTTCTCCAGTTCTGGGTTGTTCCTCCGGTTGTACTTGGGGCTTGGCAGGATGAGGTGTCCCTGTGTGATGGTCTTGATGGTGCTGGGCTCAGAGGTGATGTGGCCTGGGGGGTGCAGCTTCAGTCCAAATGTGACCTCATAGGGGGGTGGAGGTGAAATGGTGTTGATGGGCTCGGGCTGGTTCTCGGGGCTGCCGGGCTGTGAGTTGGGGGGCGAAGGGGGCAGGCTCACTGCTGGGATGGGGTAGAACTCCTCTGGCACACTAAAGCCACTGAGGCCTTGGGAGGTCGCTGGGAATGATTTGAGCTGCCCTGCTGGCCGCAGGGGCCGGGCAAGGACTCTGGAGTCCAGCATGGAGCTGCCGGTAGACATGGCTACTCCATGGATGCTGCTGGTGGCCGTGGTGCCACAGGTGGAGGAGGCCACGGTGGTCATCTCCGTGGGGAGCTGGTAGAGCAGGCCCGGCTGGGGGCTGATCGAATGAGGGATTTCGGGGCAGGGCAGTTCTTGCTTGACAAAGATGCTGCTGGTAGCCACAGACTGCGGCACGCTGAAGACACTGGTGAAGTCTGGCAGAGTCTGGGTCGGCCCACTGCTGGCAGGGCAGGGCAGGGCAAAGCAGGGGCTGGGCTCCATTTTGATTTGGGGAAAGGGCACAGAGGGCTTAGCAGGCCGGTAGATCCCTGTGCGCAAGTGCGTGGTGTCCGGAAGGATCACGTTGATGTTGACACTGTAGGGTGCAGACAGAGGCTTTTCAGTGGAGAAATACTCATCCACCACGGAGGCACTTTCCCGGCGATACTTCTTGTCTGGTGCTGTCGGTGTGGGGGGCATTTGGCCAGAGAGGTACTTGTCCATCTCGGTCCGTGCCTGAGTGGAAGCCCAGAAAAGGAATGAACAGTGAGGAAAGAAAGGCCTGAGGTCTCTGTGCAGCTGGCACCCCTCACCCGGGTCAGGTGCCTGATGGCCACCCCCATCCCATATTGGCAGCCATTGCTGTTATTCCTGGTGTGAATGGTTGCTGCCCCTGAGCTAAGCCAGCCACTCACAGGCCCCCCCTGCATAGAAAGCCCCCCACCTGCGGACAGAGCTACCGTGATGTCCCTCCAAAGCTGCATCAGAGGAAGACCTCCATCCAGCTGCAAGAAAGTGTCTTGGAGGCCCCAAATCCCCAATTTGAAGCCAGGGCAGCATCCCAACGGACAGCTGCCTCCCTAGCTTACAACTGTCCTCCCTCACCTTCACTGCTCGCAAGCTCGGGAAAGAAAGTTTTGTTAGGTGCGTGAAAGATAGGTGTATTGGTGCAATGGCTGCTCAGTTGCCTCTGTTGCCAGAGAGGCATTTGCCAGCTTCCTCTTCTCTAGCCCTGAGGGGGAGCTGTTTTCATTGGAACAGCCTCTCCATCACCAGCTCCTTTCCAGGCAGTTATTTTTAAACTCAGAAGCAAATACCCATGGGACAGTGCCAGGAAACTACCCACAGGCCCAAATGCCAAGCACATCTGGATGAAGGCAGGGCTCACTTGCTCTGAGATGGCAGTGAGCTTCAAGGGCCCGGCTGCTGACACCTCCAGATACCCCTACAGCGAGGGGAGCTGGGGAGCACCCGGTGGAAGGCTGCCACCCCCTCTGGTTTTGCACTGTCTGCCCATCTTTCCCATCAGCCATGTCCAGCCATGGGCTGCCCACATTCTCCACAGAGGAGGGGGCCTGTGCCCGTGCCTTCCTGGGTAGATTGGCCCTTGATTATAAGGGCTGCAGAGTACATTTCCTGGTGCCCAAAAAGGAGCCCAGGGATCTGCAAGCCCCAAGGGCTAATTGGGAGGACTGTTGGAAGTGTCTTCTTAGTTCGACCAGAAAAGCACTTTTTACATTCTGCTGGTCAGCAGGAGAAAATGGCATCAGTTTTCAGAAGGGCGTCTAGTTTCCTCTCTCGCAAGCAAAATAACAACTCCGCTTCAGAACTGACTCTCCTGCTCTTCCCACTGATGGAGAGCAAAGTGCTCCTCTTTCTGTGCTGCTCTGGGACACTCGGGGAGAGATTTGGTTCCCCTCTGGACGTGAAGGCAAAACCAGCCTCCTGTTTGCCTTGAGGAGGATTTGAGGGCTGGCCAGCGAGGGCAGTGGGTGATGGCCGGCAAGTGGGACGTTCCACTCAGGTTTGAGCTGGTCCAGTGAGATACAGGAAGCCCCTGACCTATGTGCACAACTGGAACAGAATTTCTTTTGCTAAGCAAGGCGGTTGTTAAGTGGGCTGTACCTGATTGTTTTTGCCACAGTTTTTAAGCAAATCCTGCAATGGTTAAGTGAACCTGACTTCCCCCATTGACTTTGCCTGGCGGAAGCGGTCTGGGAGGGTCACAAAGGGCAATATCACATTATCCCAGGATGATGCAACTGTCATAAATGCAGGACGGTTGCAAGTGCCCAAATTGCTATCCCATGACTGTGGGGATGCTGTGATGGTTGTAAATACGAGGACCAGTCATAACTTAATTTTTCAGTGCCATTGTAACTTCAAACAGTTGCTAAAGGGATGGTTGTTAAGTCAAGGGCTACCCATAATTCTGCAAAAGTTTTTGTCAAGTCCTGGAAATGAGGACCTTCTGACAGGATCCTGATATCCCGTGTTCTACGAGCATCCATCAGCTCACATGTGGTTTTTATTCTTTTGTCTGGGCCGATACCTCTTAATATATGCTTTCTATTAACTTGCAATATCTTAAAAAATTCAGTTGTCTTACAAACCTTCCTAAATAGTTACAAATGGCTACAAGTTTACAGTATATATAAACAATAATACTTTTAGGAAAATAGTTACACTTAAAAAAAATCAAAACAAAGCTAACTAAAACAAAAAGGAAAACAATCCATTAAACAGAAACAAAGTAGTTAACTTTTTAAAATCCATTGATAAAAAAAAGATTTTATAACTGTTCCTTTGTGCCAAACTTTATATCTGTACAAAGCCATCACAACCCATTTTTCCGCAATAAGCTGAAGCAGAAGACCCAGCAGTCGGTGGTCTGATCTTCCTCTCTGCTGAAGCAAGGCCACTTGAAACCCTGAACCTGGATAGAGGGATTGGAGATGGTGCTGTGGGGCTCCTTGGGGAGACTTCCCGTGTTGCTGCTTCTTGAGGGGGGGTGAGAGGGTTTAACACCTTGCACCCAGCACCCTCCCTGGCCAAACATTCCTGGGGATTATCCCACAGAATAGGAGATCTCGGCCTTTGATCCCGATTGTGCCCAGGTTCAGCAGATACTGGTGGGGCAAGGTACGGCTCCCGGAGGCAGGGAAGGGTGGGAAGTGAGGGCCCCCACCCCTGTCAGGACCTCCGTGGCTCCCTCCCCTCTCTATAAAAGTGGCCTTTCAATCTCTAAAAATTGTAAGCACATTTAGAGGAAAAGCCTGATTTAAAAAACCCATCCTTCTCTTTGTCTGCATTCCTTCAAAAGAGGCTGGATTTCAATTGAAAGCACTTATACTTTTTGTTTGGTTCAATGTCAATCTTTATTGTCTCTCTAGTAAAAAATTGACCAGAGTCAATATTTGCTTCTCTGATCATTCAGTCTTGGTATTGACCTCAGATGCAGGCTGGGGGGGGAGGGGGCTGGCTTTGGGCAGTCTTTCTCCTAGAACTCTCTGGGGTGCAGTTTGGGGCAAGAGGGGTACCTGTCCTGGCCCAGGGGCACCTCTCCAAATCTCACCACACCCGGCAGAGGGACCACACATCACACAGTCCTCTTCCAGTTTCTGAGGAGGGAAACATTGGCTCTGCCTGCATTTCACAGACCGATCAGGAAATAAGCCTCCATAATAGATGGGGGGGAGGGGGACCGAGCCCAATGCTTTCAAGTCACAAAGGTTGTGCCAGGCCTGTCTGATGACGTCAGCAGGCTGCTCAGGGGAAGTGCCACTCCTTTGGAGCTGGGCCTGGCAGTGTCACTCCAGGCTGGGGGGGAGGGGTATGGACACCAGGAGTCCTCCCCAATCAAAGCTAAGCCCTCCACTGGAGAAGCCCACGGTTGGGATCAATGGGGCAGTTGAAGTGGATTAGAGGAGGCTCAGCCTGCTGCTCCTCACCATTGTAGGTAACTGCACGTCCCCCAGCTCACTTCACAGCCAAAAGCTCCCTGAAAACTTCCTTGCTACCCCTAGGACAGAAGGGCACAGCAAAGGAGCCTGGAAGCAGGCCCCCAAGGGGGGGGGGAGGACTGGCTGGCATCCGCTGAATTGCTTCCTGCAGGAAACAGAGTTGCCTCCTCACCTTCTGCAGCATTTCAGTCACCAACCAAAATGGCACCAGATTTATCATTGCATTAAATTAAATTACCTGGATTTTATTTCAGAACTTTTCATAATCTTTGGCAATCTAGAATATAAGCCCTTATCCTATCTTATCTAATTATTGTTCTTCTTGTAATCAACAATCTGAAAAACACCTCATTCTTTTGATCTCACATCCTCATTTTTGTTAGGTCATTTCTGGTCAGAGAAATAAAAGTTGTCCTGCGTAAAGAAGGTCAAGTAAGGGAGATTTCACAGCTACCATAAATTTGGAGCCTTGAGGATCAAATTCACAGTCTCTGACAATGCTTCCTTTGGACTCCATCTGCCCTCTTAGTCTACTTGTTGGTTAACTGTGTGTCTACCTGGTCAAGTCAGCCTTGCAACAAACACGGCAGATGGTCTGAGAGCTCAAACTCCTGAGAACCTTAATAATCTTGGGAATACCATTTTATGTGTAGAATGACAAGGGTGTACAGTATATCTAGCAGGTCTAGGTAAGAAAATAGAGTTCTTTTGCTATGGTCCACATTTATTTTGAAGATAATATCCCTTCAAAAAAGCTATTTCAATGGGCCAATAAGTCACGAGATGGCTTGTTTGTGTATGAACCTGTGTTTATTTAGGCACCCGGTTCACTTGAATGTTTTCCCATCGCTGAAAATCCTACATGGCTGCCTCGACTGACCATGCAGGACCCTGTCTATGCTGCTTCTTCTGGTTGCTGGCCAGAGGGACAAGCCAGGAATTGAGAAAGACTCTTGCAATGTCCTGTGGAAATGTCAGAGACCTTCTATCCTGATGCTTCCATTAATCCAGGCTGCAGTTACAGAGCAAGAGCAGATTCTGCACAAAGTCTCTTGTGAACTTCCCTGCCCGCTGTGCCTGGAACGTGGGAGGCATGGGCTGGGCCTCCTCCATGGGCAGCCAAAGAGCAGCCCTTCCATCAGAGCCCCCTCGCCCCTGGGAATCCTTGGCAAAAGGAAACTCAGGGCAAGTTTCTTTGCAGGCCTGCATTGACCCCAGAGTGCTGTGCGATGCACTGAAACAACTCCAGCTTGGTGGATGCGCTATTATTCTAATGGCCTGATCTTGAGTGTGAGTTTCCTATGAGATAGTTTATTTTAGAAAAGAGCAGAATAAACTGGACAGAGGGAGGGAAGGTCAACATTTCAGAGGGAAACGGGAAGTTGAGCTGAGGCTGGAAATAGGTTTGTTCTCGTGAGTTTCCAGAAGACGGACTTTGATGTCCTTTGCAAGGGAAAATGCAGCCGCCAACCTCGCAGTCACCTTGTTTGGCAAGAAAAACAAAGTCTTCGGTTCACGGATCAAAAGAATTTAGCCAGATCTCCACTCTGAAAGATGCTCTAGATCAGTGGTTCTCAACCCTTCTAATGCCGTGACCCCATAATACAGTTCCCCATGTTGTGGTGACCCCCAAGTGAGTGTGGCCACCAATAAGAGGGAGTAGGACAGCTAGGGAAAAGGGGAAAAAATGGTGGACTGCGTTGTTTGGCGACCCCCGTGAAATGGTCATTCGACCCCAAATGGGGTCCCGACCCACAGGTTGAGAACCACTGCTCTAGATTGTGCATTCCGGGAGACCCCAGGAAGAAGCCTAAAGGCGGGGGAAGCCAAAGCCACCATTCGGCCGGTAGAGCATCCACCTCCCGTTTCAGGAATAAAGAATATGGGCCCAATCGGGCCCTACTAACTGACATTATGAAAAGTGTGTTTCAAATGGCGACTCAGGTTTGCAGTCTGGGATATTCTAGCACTGGTGAGACAGAAACTGGTGTTCCCCTCCATGAATAAGAAGGATTCCAATTTGTTAAAGGGGGCACAAGAGTCTCACATTTTCAGAGCTGCCTTCCCTCCAAATACCAAGAGGGCCCCCCACTTGCCGGGGCCCCTCTCTGCCGCATCTCCTCAGCATTCTCTCTCGAAGAGCCGCCGTCTTCCCTGCCAACAAGATGGCGCCAGGAAGCCTTGCACTTGAGGTTAATCATTACCTCGTTTGTTGGACCGACTGAGCAAGAGAAAATGGAGGGAGGATTGGCATAAAATAAATAAGTCTCTCAGGGTCGGGGTTGCATACCTCTGAGACAGACATTGCTCTGCAAACTCGAAACTGGAGAGCCAGTTCTCTTGAAATCAACATTTCCTTTAATGTTATGCAAACAGAAGACAAATTTCGGCATCATTGGAGAAGTGGACCTGTTTCTGTTCTTCTCTGGGGCCCTTTTTCCGAGAAGGTCCCTTGAGGAGGTCGTCTGATTCTGTCTGGAGAGGCCTCCTTGGGGAGGATGGCAAGCCAGCTGCCTCTTTTTTTCTGCATCCAGGTCAAGAATTTAGGATGAGCGGCTGAGAAGCCCAATCTGCTGCCTGGATCAAGTCACCTGCAGGTCACATAGGCCCTGACCCGAACCTCAGAAGCCCTCCCTGAGGTCAGCTGATTTCCACTGAAGTTCCTGCTTGCCCTCCATAGTGTGAGCTGCTGCTGACTCTGCCTAGACCAAGATGGGGCAGATGGCCAGCCCTCGGGGCCTCCATGCCCTGGTGCACAAAGCCTGAGGAGAGCCACCTCCCTCCCATGAGGGCCTCTGGCTTTGACCTGGCCTCCCATTGCTTGCAGAGAGGGCTGGAGGAGAGCTTCCTTGCTCCCCCCATCCACAAACACCAAGCACCAGCTCAGCAGTGGGGAGAGAGTCTTCCCCACGTGCACAATAACAGCACAACCTCCAGCCTGCCTTTGGCCTGGCCCTGCAAAGCATGCCTGACGGCCTTTGTGTTTCTTTCACACATTGGAAGGAAGCAGCAAAGACGGCCAGCATCTTTGGCCACATGGGAGAATCCGCAGAGGTGGGCCAGGAGGGGTCTCTTGATCCAGCCCGCCATCTCGTGGGAGGAGGGGGAGGCGGGGGGGGGGGCTCACAGCTGGGAAATCTCAAGGAGAATTCCACTCCTGTGTTTTCCAAAGGCAGCAGCCCAGACAGCAAGAACGGCACGTAAGCTCAGTGAGGGCTCTTCCTTGGAGCAGCGTTTTGGCTCAGAAATGCCCTGCAGGCACCTGGCCAAAGAACCCCCCCCCTCTCTCAAGGCCCCCACCCTTCCCACAAAGGAAAACAACCCAAAACATCCTGAGGAGCCTCCCTTGCTGGGGAACATTCCCACCATAAAAAGCAGCACCCTGGAAACCTTAACCTTGGCGCAACAGAACAAAGTCATATTCAGGCCCCTCTTTCTCAAAAACTTTCATTTTCTTAATGGCTTGTTTCAATCCAAGTTGATCTATTGCCCGTTTGTACACAAAAACTGATTTACATTTCAGGCTGACTCCAGATCCAGTATAAAGTTTGGTGAACCACAGACGTTTCCAACAGCCTAAAATCTCCAGCACCTTTTCTGCCTTATAGCCACCCCAAATCCATAATTACATGGAAAAGAAGAATACGGTCAGTTCTGAATCTTTCTGATAGTTGATCTCATCAACCTTTCTGATTAAAGCAGCAGCATTAACTTTTCAAAAGAATGCTTTTCTGCCCATCCCAGGTGCAACAGAATACACGTGATGCCCAGAAGTTCCACGCTTCTCTTACCTGGGCCAAATCCTGTGGATTCTCCGAGATTCGTACGGGTGGTTTGATGTCTTCAAAGACGGCCATGTCATCACTGGATTCCCTTGCCATCGCAACGGGCTTCAAGGACGTAAAGGCTGCACTTTCCTCGGAGATTGGGGAGCTTATGACAAGCCCACCACCGCTCATCCTGTTTGCGTGCCCCTCTCCCACCTTGCTGAGTTGCGAAACCCAAATCAGAGAAGAAAAACAAGTTTTTGGAAGGGCAGCAATCAGGCGTTCTGAGGCATGCCTGCTGTTCCTGATCTTGAGGAATCCAGGTGCTCTGTAGCCTTAAGAATCCCAATCTGCCTCAGAAAATCTTCACCTGTCCTGCAGTGGGAGGTACTCCCACCTGGCAAAGGCTGTGGCAGGTCTCCCCAGCCAATTGGGGAAGAAGCGAGCGCCACTCTAGCCAATGGCAGAGCCAACGGCTTCTTCCTTCAGGCAACACAAGACACAATGCCTAGTGGAGAGCGAGTGAGCCAGGCGGCCGGCTGGGGTTGTGGCCCTCAGCCCTGTTACATGGAGGGAAGAGGGCGAGGGGTGCCTGCCAGGAGCTTCTAGGGGGAATGGCTGAGTTGCAGTGCGCAAAATCCTTTGAGAGCTGTCCCCACCCTGGGCTTATCTGGGCCATCTTGCCATTGTCTTCCAGCCCAACTGCTCCGTGCCAGCTGTGGGTTGGGGTAAAGGGCCACTGGGCCTTTCAAATGGCTCCCCTCTGACCTCTGTCTTCAGCCCAAAGGCCTAGTGCTAGAGAACCCCGGTGGTGAGTCTCGGATGCCCCAAAGAACTGTGCCTATGAAGATGAGTCCTGCCCCTTTCAGGGGTCTGTCTGCAGGCAGTTGGGCAGCCAGACGGGCCTGATATCCTGGCTGGGCTGGGCTCTCTTGGCTAGCCTTGCTTTGCCTTGCCACAGATCTGAGCTCCTTCCCTTGCTTCCCCCCCCCCCGTCCAACGGGCAAGACTAAGGGCCCAGCACCTCACCGTGTCAGGGGCTGATTTTACCAGGCAGTGAAATCAGGAGGCAAAAAGGTAGCGGTCCCTGTCCTCTGACGGCCACTCCGCAGCCATGGAAAAAAATGCCTGATTCCAAAATTAGCTGACCAAGTCCAGAAAAAGTCCACGTTTCAAAATGAGAACAATTGTGGATTTCAGTGTTGTTACAAGAGTTTAGCTCTTATCTAGTTACTATTTTGCATAAGGATAAAACTCATTGTATGTGCAAGGCCAAAGAAGAGAGGAATTGAAAACAGACATTTTATATGATTAACAGGCCTGAAAGTGCAGTGGGACCACAAGAGAGGTTTTTTTTAGTAAAATCTGGGATTGATTCATAGACCTCGTGATTTACTTTAAATTCCTTTTCCGATTTTCAGTTTGGAAATTCAGCTCTCTACATCTATAATTGGGGGGAAAAGAATACATATACATTTACACATATAGGTATATAGGGAATTGTTTGAAATCCTGAGGAGTAGCCATTTGTGGGAGAAGAATGGTAGAGAATTTCAGACCGATAAATGCAAGATTGGGGAATGGGGCTGTAAACAATCTGGAAGGAAACTGTTTACAGACCTTCTTTATTTCTTAGTCAAACTGGATGAAGTCAACAGACCGAGCTTTCCCTTCTGAAAAGGGAAAGGGGATGAATCTGGATACATTTTGGAGGCCTCTGGACAAAACCAGCCTTTCCACTTAGAGATTTTCAGTGCAGTCCTCTCAGCAGTTGCTTGAAACACGACTGAAGAGGAGGAACGATCCCGCACAAGGGACCAAGGTCAGAAAGAGAGGCAGGAAGTAGAGACCTCCGAGCAGAAAGCAGCTGAGGGTCTTTGCAGGGTCTTCTGCTCACCCTGTGGAACCCAACCAGGTCCATGTTGCTGAGGAAGGTGGAATCCAGGCTTGGAAAAGGCAGGCAACACGCAGCTTGGAACATCCCGGGATTCCAGCATCCCCACAAGTGACCGTCCAGCCCGTCGCTTCCCTCAACCATCTGGAGCTTTGCCACCCTGCTCTTAATGGCAGCGACGTCTCTCGGCCTTTCCCAGACGAGGGGCTGCCAAAGATTCCTGGTTCAGTTTTGCCTTTCCTTGCATGCCAAGTTTGCACTGTTTGGCATTTGCACTGACCTCCCAGGTTGTGTGGATAACGGCAGGCCTCTTCAGCCCTCACGCCCTCTTGGACCAGAAAAAGGACAGGAGTCGGAGCAGAGAGCTGGGTGGGGATGCAAGACTCAGGGAGGATTTGCTTTCACTGGGGTCTAAATAAAGTGACTTGAACTTACTTCCAGCAAGTGGTGGAATCTGAATTCAAACTTTATCCTTCCTACAACTTTTTATGGCAAATTTATTATCATGAATATTTGCAGCATCGGCAGTCAGTGTTTTTTCCATGTCTTCCCCACTTTAAAGAACCAGTTCTTGGGTTGCAAGATGCTGCTTTTCTTCCCAGCCCTGGTTGCCGGCTCTCTTGGCAACCCCCATTACCACCGTCCCCCTCGTCTGCAAGTCTTCTTCCTCCAGGCCCAATCTCCATTTCAGGAGGCCCATTGTATCTCCATCACAACTGACCCTCAGCTGGGGACAGCCAGGCAGCTTCCACAGACACAAAGGCCTACAAATGTTGCCCAGAGAAACTGCCCAAGCAGAAGATCATTGCTTCACGTGTGTGGCTCTTTCTGGCAGTCCAAGAAGGGAGTTGCTGACAGGATCAAGGCCGTACCTTTGCTGGCAAGATAAGAGATTGACACATTGCTTTGCTTTTATTGCTGAAATGAGGAGCACTTTTCATCTCAGCAATCACTGACAGTCGGGGTGGAAAGGGAAGGGGCTGCACCTGGGGCAAGGGCCGAGGGGTTGAGCCTGGTAACGGGTGGAAATTCCCACAGAGAACAAGAAAGGAGCACATGCAGAACACCAGGCGTGCCACTTGGGGATTGCTGCTTGCTCCTATCCTGGAGGAAGGCAGCTCTGCTGTGCAGCCCATCCTTGAGCAGCCTCCGGGCCTGATGCTTTCGGCAAGGCTGGCACCAGCTTTCCATGGTGGCACCTGGCCACTTGCTGCCCTCCACCTGCTAGGAAAGGAGCTGGCGTACCCTGCTTGCTGCCCAGTCTCTTTCTCTGCTCTGGGGAATGGGTGACATTTCCATGGGTGGCTGAATAGGTTTTGTCATATGGAGCAAAGGAGGAGGTGACATTTCCTGGCACTAAAGGAAATTCAAGACCTGGGGGGTGGGTGCAGGCCAGGCAGGCAGGGTGACCTAATTCTCAGGGGTCGCATCAATACTTAGGCTGGGGCCAAGCCTGATGCTAGGCTGGATGGTTTAGCAGAGCCCAGGAACAAACCCTTTGCCAGGAAACCCCCCCCCCACCCTGCTCTGGGATCAGCTGGGAGGAGCTGGGAGCCCTCATCAAGCTCCCTTCAGGTGAGGCTTCTGGCCCTTCTCAGGATGAGGCTGCCCCAGCTGCCTCTGGGTCTTAAGCCTGGGGCACAAAGCCAGACTTGGCGTGACAGGGGAGCTGGGTCTGCAGAGCTCGTGGGTCCCCTGTGGGCCAGGAGTCCAGGTGGTTGGTCTGTTGAGGGGGGCCTAGAGAGGCTACTGTCCCCCTGGATTTGAGTCTGGTGCAAAGTATTTTGCCTGGAGGGAGGCAGGGGGAGGCAGCCCCCAGGGAGAGCCCCCACCCTCTTTCCTCCCCTTGGTCCCAGGATTGGCCTTGGGGGAGCCTGACAAGGAGCCTCTCCTGGGCAGAGAGGAGCGAGCAGTGCCAGGATGCCAGGGGCAGGGAAGGCAGCGGGGTTTCTGCACAAAATGCACCGGGAGAGAAGGCCAAACAGGGAGGAAACCTCTTCAGGGCAGAGCAACAGTTGTTCCTATTAGCCTATTAAACGGCTTTAAAACAGATAAACACAAGAGAAAACAAATTAAAAGAAAATTTCCGTAGCCTGAAATAATAAACGGGAAGCTCATTCCAGAGCAGTTTCGCCCATCTACGTGATCGATGGCTGTCTGCGCACTGGGGGGCCAACTGGGGAGCCATCCCAGAGAGCAGCTGCCTGGAGGGGGGCTGCTAGCCAGCCAGGAGAGAGAGGAGCCAGGGAAGACGAGTTGGGGCAGGCACCTGCCCCACAGAGCAATAAACAAGGGGCCGGCCGCAGCAGGCGAAGAGTTAAGCCGGTGTGTGCGTGCGTGTGTCATGTTGCAGGAATGTGCCTATTATTCCTTTCACCTCTGGCCTCCTGGGTGAGGAGTGTTTGCAAAGCTGGTTTCTCATGGAAACAATTCTTTAAAAGCAACGAAGCTTCAAAACACGGGTGATAACATTTACCTTGGCGGGACAACAACTGGCTGGGGCTGGACTGGATGGCTCTCCCAGCCCAGAGCCAGGCAGGAGCCTCTCTGGAGCAGTGTGAAATTCAGCACACGCACAATGGACTCGCCTTGGCCCAAGGCCAAGTCAGTGGGGGAAATAGCAAGCGGGACTAGCATCGAGGGAGGAACCCACAGCTCATGGGCCCTCTGGGCCCCCAAACCTTTTCATAGCCCCTGTGTACATAGGCACAGGAGGGCCCCCCCACTGGCCAACCACCTCGGGCAGAGAGGCTGAGCACAGGGTAGTGCTGGCCAGGACAGCCCCGTGTGCAGCTCAGGACGGGGGCTGGGCTGGCGTGCTGAGGCTGCAGGCCCAGGAGGATCTCAGTGGCGGCCAGGCTGGGCCTGCCACTTCCTGTCCAACTGCCAACGTCACCTTTCCCACACTTGCAATCGGACCTTGATGTTCCCTGCCATATCAACAGGAACCAAGTGTTTACCTAGTGGCCCTGGTGCCAGGAGGGGCAAGGCCCACCTGGCAGCAGGAAGTGGCTCTAGCAGGCACCCTGGCTCCCTTCTGCCGCCTGCTCTGCTGCTGCCCAGCACTTGCCAGTCCTGCCCAGTGCCTGGGGGAGGGAGAGATCAGACCCCCTTTTCCCAAATCCTGCCTCCTCATTCCCTGGAAGAAAAGCAGTCTCTTCTTTGAATGTGACTTGGGGGGGGGGCATCCAGGGGTTCAGGGCTTAGAGCAGGGAGCCCCAGCCTCTTCCTCTCTTCCTGTTGGGGGGGCAAGGGCTGCCGTGTCCTGAAGCTGCTTCCTGGGGTGGAAATTCCCTTCCCTCACAGAGGTGGGGGAGCCCTGAGAAGCTACAGGGCATGAAAGTGGGGGACCCACTCAAAATCTGCTCATAACCAGGGAAGCCTCAGGTGATAAGACAAATCCTTGTGAAAATACATATTGGGCAATTGTGTGTCATTGCCCCCACCAGGTGGAAATCTTGCCAGGATCACTGACTCATTGGTATCGGCTGCAGAGTTTGCTGAGTCTCCTCTTCTCTGGAAGGCCAGGAGTCTCTCAGCAGGACGTGCTCAGACCTGAGCAAGGTTTGGGGTGTGCGTTTGCTTCCTTTTCGGGGCATTGTATAAAAATCAAGGCTACTGAAAGGAAGGTGCCATTCCAGGCTGGGAGCAGCCTGCGCTCAGCAGAGAAATTGTTGTGCATAATCCGTCACTCACACATGTTCTGTGTCCTCTGAGCTGCACGCAATTCAATGTGTGTGAAAAAGTGTCCAGCGAAGGCCAGGGACCTTTCCAGGCCTGCTGGAGAGAGAGCTCCGGGCTGGTGCCAAGGAAGTGCTGCAGCCGGGGAAAATGCTGCAGGGGGGCTGAGAGAACTACAACAGCCCAAGAAAGTCCCCACGACAGAGTTCCCTTCCAAAGGATGTGAGTCTTTGTGTTTAGACTGAGGCTGCCCAAGAAGTGAACCACCCCACTCAGCTGGGAAAATCCCCCCCGCCCGTGTGGTCAGTTGTGTAGATTGTCCACATTCTTCTCAGGACTGTGAACTATTTTGTGCCCTGACTTCCCAGCATTAGGAGGCGTGTACAGTCTCTCCCCCCCTTCTCCTTTTTTGCTGCCTGCCTCCTTCCTGCCTCCTGGGTCCTTTCCTTCCCCTCCCTCCAGGTCAGCAAAGGGCCCAGGAGACTGCAGGCAGCTTCGTCTTCTGCTGCTCGTGGCCACTGATTCACCTGTGGCCCTGCAGGGATCATCACGGATTCCCTGTCTGGGAAAGGGAAGGTCCAAGCCATGGCATGTCACAATTCCTGGTCTTTTGTTCTCAGGTCTGACTGTGGTGTGGCAGACCGTGACTTACACAAGCAGGACCAGAGATTGTGTACCGTATAAACTCAAGGGGGAAGATTGCAAAATCCTTGCCATATTATTCGCAACTGTTTATGCGCAATCTGCTTTTTCTTGTTTTGGGAAAAGTGTTGATTTAGCAGATGAAATAGCAACTCTGGCTGGAGTCCACACTGGAAAAACTGCACAAAAGGCACATAGTATTTGTGAATTCTCACCCTTCCCTGCAGTCCATTCCCGTGAACTCTGCTGCTCTTGCTTACCTTAATAGCAATTGGCACACAGAAACATTGTGCAGCCAGTGAGCAGCTCCCAGCAGAGTTAACCAAGGGGACGGGTTGGGGAAAGCTTTGCCCAGCTGGCCAATTGCAGCTGAAGGCCAAGAGGAGATCCTGCAGCTCCCAACAAGTTGATTTCACCAGTTCAGGAGAAAATATCCGGGCATCTGATAGTTCACCCTTCTGTGTCCACAGCATTTGCTTCCTGGTGGAGTTTATTGCTTGCAACAGCTGTCCAATGTCAGTCCTGCAGAGCAGCAAAAAGATGTAAACTACTGATTAAGCCCCACAAACATATACATTACTGAAACAAGCATCATGGCTGATTATATTATCTTCTCCTTCCACAATAAGCAGCCATGCAGTATATTAAGTAAATAAGGATGTCCAGAAAGGGGAATATATTTGTGAGTGTGGTGAATCCCAGAATTAAGGGCTGACATAAGTTCATTTTTGCTATTAGTGGTAAAACCGTTCACTTAATTGCTCCTTGGTTTAACTCCCTCCTCCCTTTCTTTTCAATCTTGTCTGTACTGCTGGAATGCTGACCTTAGTGGGGAAAAAATGAAAATTACAGAAGGAAGAGCCTTTCATAGCCACTCCTCTGATTACTCGGACCAGCCAAGTGGACCTATTAATACCTCCGTCCCTCAAACACTCTCCCAGTTCTCCACCTGAGCTGTCCTGGAGGAATGGGGTCCCTGGTGGGTCTGACATCTGGACTTCCACCTCAGCTGCTTTTGCTGGTGGTTTCTTTTCACAGGACAACTAAGAACTTCTTTGAGAGAAGACCACCCAGATCTCATTATACAAACTACATGTAATTGGTTCAGAGACTCTTAGCTCAGACAGCTGTTTCCAAGATAAAGACACTTTCAGATCAAACTCAAGTAAAAAGAAGCCAATGTTTGCCATGTGGGTAGGCAAAAACATCTACAGGTTTGGGAAATGCCTGTGCATGGCCTCGGAATTTCTCTTGAGGAGGCCCACTCTGTTTGCATGAAAGGGTGGGTGTGAAGGAGAGAGATGACCTCTTGGGGCTGCTCTGGCCAGTCCAGAGCCGATGGCCCAATGACCAGTCGTCTGCAGAAGAGAACAACCCTTAGTCAACGCCAGGCAGGAAAAACCAGGGCTTTTTTTCTCATAGAACGCCCAGAGCGGAGTTCCGGCACCTTTTTTGGATGGAACCTTGTAGGGTAGGCAAGGCGGGTTGTTTGACGTGTGTGAGTTCCGGCACCTTTTTTTTTTTTTTTAGAAAAAAAGCACTGGGAAAAACTGAGAAGGTTTGAGAAGCTGAATCTCCTTTGTCTGGCTTGCAACAACTTGCTGGATGCTCCCTTCATCGGTTACCATGGTAAATATTTTTGCTTGGTTGCTACCCACAGAGTGATGGGTGTGCACAAGTTCTCTGTGCAGAATGGTTGCACAGACCCTTTCTGGAGGAAGTGGGGGGAGACGTCTGTCTTCTCCGCTGCACACAATGTTCTCATTCCTTTGGCTGATTTACAGGGGAAACGAGTCTTTTCTGATCCTTGTATGATATAGGAAGGATCACTTGAGCGCTACCCTCCTCCAGGTAGCTTGGAAATCAAACGACATTTAAGAAACCATGTGTAATTAATTAAATGCAGCTGATACAATAACTCCCTATGAATTAAATAAATTTTCCTTCTGCCAGATTGCTCCATCAAAGCCACAGGGGTGTTGAAGCGCCTGAGGCCTCCAAAGATCTATGTGTGAATGCAGCAACACTGGGATTCCTTAGGGCTGCAAGAGGCCTTAATTGGCTTCTGGGCATCCAGGCCTCAGGCAGAACAAAAGGGAAGCTGCTGTCCAGTATTTGGGCACTCCTGAGGTCATCCAGCAAGCCCAGAATGGCTTTCCAGCTGCAAGACCCTGGAGAGTGTCTGGACTGTAAAGATCTCTTCAGCGGTTAGTAGTATTTTTAGGCAATTAATAATCTTGTGATTCTACCCCCAGTAAAGTTCAAGTTGGGTTATATATTTCCATGTTCTTTAAGGATTTAAACAAATCTGCCCAAGAAGAACTCCTTTTTCATTTACTTTTTGTTCCCCCATTGGAAGTTAAGATGGAAGCAGCCTGGAATGCAGGCAGCAGAGGGGAAAAGCCAAAAGGTTCCCAATGAATACGGAAACTGAAGGTCTTTCAAATCCCACTTGCAAGCCCTGGTGAGCACTCCTTCTGAGCAGAGCCTGGCGGGTGGCTGGAGAGCATCTTCCCTTCAGCCTCTTTGCAAGTGGAAGAAGGAGCCAAAGACAAGCAGGGCAGAAGGGAAACTGGCATTAAAGGGGGGGGGGGAGGAAGGGGGGAGGAAGAGAGACAGAAACACTGCAGCCACAGATCAACCTGTGTGGTGCCTTTGACATTGTGTTCCTTGTGGAGTGCCAGAAATTGTAAAATGCAAATCTGTGCCTGTCATTTGCAGTCACTGCCCTCCAAGGGGGTAGCGATCACTGTGCCAAGCCCCATCATGGGAGAGAAAGCCACTTTGAATAACATATGAAAATCAGGCTGTTCTTTTGTGGACTTATTTGCAAAAGGAAACACAAACTAGGACTGTCAAGGTGAGATGGCTGTAATTGGGCTGGTAAAAGAAAAGCTCTGGAGCTCCAGCTTCCCATCAGCCTTCCAGGCTGGGCTGAGGAAGGGGGTGAGGGGCAGCTCCCCAGTCATCGGAGAGCGGCCCTTGCCTTTGGTGCAGATGCAGATCTCAGGAGCCTGAGCCTTCTCCTCTAAAGCAAAAGGGAGGCTGGGGCAGGGCAGGGCTTCCTGGTTCTGAGTTCTAAGTGGCAGAAATTGTGCCCCTTTGCAGATGTTTTGCAAAGCAGGGCAAGATTTCCTGGTGTTTTGGCCACCCCTCCAAGGAGACTAGACCCCCACTTGAAAAGAATCAACATTTCCCTTAAATGTTTGCTGTTTGGCCTGTTCTTAATGACACTCACCATTCATCTTTGCTCCCTATTCACTAACATATAATGAAAAATAAAATAATATCCACAATGCTTTTGGTAATGCTTCAGGCCGTCTGGAAGCTTCCAGATGAGCATTTGCCTTCCTTGATCCTGTGCTGGGCTTCGCTGTGTAACTCTTCCCTGCACACAACTGCAGATTTTCCAGAAGTCTATGCTGAGCAGGATCTCTTCTTAGTCCCCATCCCATTCGCTCAGAGAGTTCCTGAAATCCCGCCAGTGAAGAATAGGAATTCCACAGGCTGAGGACCTGTGTTCCAGAAGGTCTGCTTTTAACTCTTTTATTTAAACAGCCACTGCGCTAACGCAATCCTGTCTCACGCTGGCATTTTGTTCAATCAATCAGAAGTAGAACTCTTGGCAGAGGAAAACAAATGAAAGCCACATCAGGCAAGCATCCCCTTCTTGCAGCTTCTCCTCCTCTGAATGAACGTATATCCTTCCAGCTGGCCTGGCTCGGTGGTGCTGCTGGACTGTTGGGACTGCACAGGAGGCAACTCAGCCCTCTTCCCTTGCAGTGAGACTTCAGTTGGGGAAATCCCAGTGAAGGGAAGCCTCTGGTTTCCCAAGTTGGCCTACATCCCAAATGCCAGGAGGCAACTGAGCAGAGCCTCCTTCTCCCCCACCTGGGGCTGGCTGACTCAACAGGGCATCCAAGGGCACAGCCACAGCCAAAGGGAGGTCACGACAGAGCTACAGCCTCCTGGAACTTCCTGGGACTTTCTGTTCTTCGCACCGAGGCCACTTCTTTGGACGTTCCAGCATGAAAAGGGGGCTTTCCATGCCAGTTGGAGCCTCTCCATCCCAGGCATGTAGGCTGTGTCCTCCCGGAGTCTGCGAAGGTGGGTTTCCGAAGCCACGTGCCCAGGAGCAGGGGAGGGAGGGCAGACCCCATCATGGCTGCTTCTGCTGCTGCTCTGCGTTTCATCATAAGTCACACTACCAACCTGGGCTAGCCTGATATCTGTTTTGACTACCAGACCTGGCCGGAATCCCAAACCCCACAGAATGACAGCCGCATGGATGAAAGCTTGGCAACATACTGTAGAAGGCAGAGACAACAGTCTCAAAGGATGGGAGAAAGGCTGCTACCAAGCCAGCAGTCAAAGCCATGGATAGCCTTGCTTTCCTGGGCTGGTCTGTCTTGAAGGACTGGCCATTCCCAAGGGGCAGGGGGTGTGGGAGGAACAGGATACAAAGGGCAATACTCAGACCCTTCTCCTGGATCTCAAGGAGCTTAAGGCCTGGCTGAAATGGACAATAAGGACGGGCTTCCTTGAAGCTGAGTGGTTAGGGTCCAACAAGGAAACTTGTTGGAAAGGCAGCGGTGCCAGGCGAATGGGCTGGCCTTGGCCCAACCACGCTCATTTGTAGAGGTGGGTGAGCAAAGGCGAGAGCCAAAAGCAGAACCTGTACAAGCCCATGAAATGCTGCGGGACATCTGCCTAGCAGCTCCTGCCCTGCCAACGGTCTCTTTTGCAGCCTGGAGACTTGCTGGAGTAACTGTAAATGGCGCTGGCTTTAGAGAAGAGCCTTTCTCTTCCAGCAGAATCAGGAACAGGGAGGGCAAGTTGTGCCCCCCCCAGGGGACTTAGCTGCTCATTGCCTGGGAGGGGGGGCTGTCTGCCAAGCCAAAGGGCCGACAGCAAGACTGGCCTCCTGCTGGGTTTCAGCCTCGCTTTCCTGCCACACGCTTTCCTGCCACACGCACAGCACAAAGGCAAGTGGGGCCGATCCTCTGGGTCACGTAGGGGAAGCTGGAGGGTGCAAGTGGCTCCCCACAGCCTGCTGGGTCTCTCTGGTGATACAACACCTGTTGTCCTGAGTTCTTTTTCAACTCTGCCTTCCTTATGGTGGCTAGTTGGCCCTTCAGAAATGCCGGCATGTGCCTGGAACCCAAAGCTTATCAGCAAGCATGGAAAAAGCAACTGGGCGTCCGGATATTGTTTTGGGGCAGTTGTCCCAAAAACAAACATCCCTGGGCAGATAAGGAGTGGCCCCTTCTCTGTTTCAATTCTTGGAGTGATAAGCAGATGTTGTGCTCAATTGTGCGCAGCCAACCTCCGCCCTCCCCCCTCCCTTGTCTCTGCACCTCGAGGTAAGCAACCAAGCAAAGCTACTTTTAGTTCCTTCCCGATGAGCACAAATGCACCAAAGTCTTGGTAGCTTGGTGGGGTCTCTGGGTTCCCCCCCTTTCTGGTCACTCCCTCTGCTTACTTTGTGTGGCCCCACTTTTTTCTAAGGGGCAGAGTCCAGTCTCCACCTCTTTTGGCCAGGGTGGTGTCTGCCTAGCTGCTTGCTAGGGACACTTTATACACCAGCCCAGCCCATTTCCTGGGAAAGTGGTTAAAACAAAGCGCTCTCCTTCTGCTGGCATTCTGAACCTCACAGAGAAATTCCTCCATTGCTCCCACTCACAGCCACCCCTAACCCTGCCTGCTTGGGGGGGGGTAAGCCCAGAGCCCCCAGTGCTCACCAGTCTGGGCTGATCCAAGCAGCCCTTCTCCGCCAACCCAGGCTGTGGGTTCATCCATTCTCTTGGCCACATTTAGAGCAGGCCTCTCTAGAAAAGACCCCCCCACACTAAGGCTCTGCCTTGCCAGCATTTGCAGTGAGGTGTGTGTGTCTGTCCTAGTCCCAGCCTGGATTGCCCAGGCAGATGTTTCTAGGCACCTGGCAAACAGTTCCCAACCACCAGCCTGTGCAGTGTCTGTGGCCAGCATGCCCCCAGTGCCTTGAAAGTCCCTTTTTGCTGGGGGAGGTCTGTGCCTCCCCTCTGGATCTCACTGGCCCCTTCCTCAGAAGTACAAGACTGTTCAGGTTAATGATTACATTTTAGGACTTCTTAATTGGGGCAATAAAGGGCTAGGAAAAGCAAATGGGGAGGAAGGACAAACCTGACTTGGCATTTGTGCTAGCTGCAGACACCAACCACCCTGTGGCCTTTTGCTGCCTCCTCTTTCTCCTGCATTAAATGGGATTAATGTTTAAGAAATGGGCAATAAATAGCATGAGATGGATCAGGTGCTAGCCTTGAAACCAGGAGACGGTGAATTCTAACCCTGTTGTGGCGTAAAAGCCAGTTGGGTGAATTTGAACAGTCACTCTCATTTAACCCAGTCCACCTTGCAGGGTTGTTGTTATAGATGTATTAGGTAAATTTGCCATTATGAAAATAACAAAGGTAGATATAAGGGACTAAATAAATGTTCGGCTCTGGCTGGCTGGCCCTCTGCTGCCCTCTGCGAAGCCTCAGTACCCAGAACGGAGCCCTGGCCAGTGCAAAGGGGCGCCTCCGCTTGGGAGAAGCAGGCTGGCCCCTCTCCGGGCTCTCCTAACTGCCACGAATCTGGCATGGGATTGCCTGCACAGGAGCCACTTGCTTCGGTCCAGGCGGCTATTGATGGCGATAAAAGGGGCCAAGGCCAAGCCTGCACTGGCCCTGCACGGCCAGGAAACCTTCCCCATTGCGGCCCCACAGCGCTCCCTGGCAGCAGAGCCCATGTCGTCCCCAGCGCCAGGCAGGAGCTTCTGCCTGCAAAGAGCTGCTCAGTTCAGCCCTCAGCAGCCCGTTTACCCCCCCCCCCGCCCCCGACAGGGCTACGCCGGATGGGCTCCTGCAGAAAGAAGCTCCTGGGACCATCCCTGTTTGGCCAGACATCTCCTGAAGGAAGCGTATCAGACCGCCTCAGAGAAGCTGAATGTTTGGTCTTGGGGCCCAGGCCAAATGCGCCCGGCCCAGCCAGAGAGACACGGGCCCCACCAGCTCCATCTACAAGAGGCTGCCGTGGCGGTCTTTCTCTCTGCCCCCCAGATGCACCGCCACCCCCAGCAGCCCAGGCAAGGAGATGCCTAATCCCACCTAAGCCGTTGCCAGGGAGACGCCAGCAGCTGCCTTACCTGCTGCCACGCCAGCCGGGACAGCAAGGGTGTCAGGGGCCTCCAAGCCCTTCAGCCAGTTCCGGAAAGTCCTCTCCTTGGCTGGGCTGGGAGATCTCCCTTGTGGGGGAGGGGAGCAGGGTTTCATGGCTTTTCTTGGGGGGTGGATTTCGTGTATGCCAGGGAGAAAGAAAACTTTGTCTTGTCTACCATCAAACTGCCCATCTCACCTGCTGGTCTGGTTGTGAATGCTTTCATGGAACTGTCTCTGTTCCAACTTCCTTCTCCTCTGCTGGTGATCTCCATTTCAAGAAAGAAATCCTGCCTCCCTCCCTCCCTCCCCAAAGTGTAAGCAGAGGAGCCCCTTCAGCAGTGAGAGTGTGGGGGTCACCATATCTGAACAGACATGCTCCTCGCTGCCTCTTTCCTGTGCTGTCCCCTAAGCCCCACTGGGGGAGGGGCCACTGGTGAGGGGCGGCACTGAACAAGCTCCTTAGGTGCTGAGCTTGCCATTCTCACTAATGAGCCATCCGACCCCCAGCATGCTCCCTGCACAGCCCAAGAGCCAGAGAACGTGTGGCTGGTCAACTGCTGGGAAAAGCCTTCTGTCCTGGGATCCAGCAGAGGCAAGGAAGGGGCTGGTGGTGCCCCCCCCCCCGGCTCCTGAGTGCCTTTCTCTGGTGCTGCAGACTCTGAGCCAGCAAAGGTTTCCTGAGCAAGGGAGCAGAACTGCAAAGGCCTCACCCTAAATAAATAAAGGGGGGGGCTGGTTCTGCAGCTGGCCCCTCCAAATGCACAGGAGGGGCAGCCTTTCATTGTCCAGCTGTGGCTTTGCATGTGGTCACTCAAATGGAAACACAGAGCAAGAACTTGGCCTTCCTGGCTGTATGCAGCTAGAACTCAACTGACCAATCGTGGCTCCTGGGCCTCTGGCTGAACAGGCTGCTGGAGGAGGGAAAGAGGCCTGCCCTCCAAGGAGAGAAAGAAATGGAGGCACCTCAGCTCTCTTCTCAGCTGCCCCCTCCCCTTCTCTAACTGGGCCTCCTAGGGTTCACTCAGAGGGAGTTCATCTCTGCCCCCTTCTCCCCCTTCCCTTTCTCTGGCCTCCCACGCCCCCTAGCGACACCCCAGGCAGGCTCTCCGGGACCTTACGGAAGGCCTGCTGGGTGCTGGTGCGTTTCTTTCCCACCTTTGTCTCCACCTCCAGGTGTTTCTCCCAAGTTGCTTTCTTTCTTTACCCCTGTCAGTGCTGGAAACAGAACAATCCAGAAGAGAGAAGCATTAGAAACATAGCAAAATTTGCAAGTTGATTCTAAGGTTCGGTAATAAATAGATCTCAACTCCTGAACAAAAAATACTTTCTGCAAATTGTAAGAATCTACAGACAGGAAGAAATGTTTTCAGTAATTATTTTTAGGGCATCAGTTCATTACAATAAAAAAACATTATACTGGATTGTATAGAAATAAAATGGGCAGTCTTAAGATGACGCTAATCCCCTGTTCAAAATGCATGCGGCACTGAAAGCATTTCAGAAGATTTTCCGAAACGGCGGAAGGCGCTGCAGTTCAGGAGGAAATGAACTGCCTCCACACGCGTCTGCAAAGGAGAAGCCTTCGCAGAGCCTGCGATTTCGCGCCCAGGGCATCAGTTCGGGGTTCCCGGAAGACAGGAGAGCGGGTGAATTTCGCCACCGGCTCTGTCCAGTCCTCTCCAGCCAGGGGAGCGATTCTGGGCGGTCTCGATTTGCATTTTGCTTCCTTCATACAGCAGCCTTTACCTGCGAAAGGTCTGCTCTTCTGTCAGCCAGGCGTTCCGGCTCCCCGGAGGCTGAGAGTATCGTGAGGATGCCGCCCTTCCCGAGGCGGGATCCGCCAGGCGCCCCCTTCGGAACTGGAGGTAGCAGCGTTCGAAGGAGCTCTGCCGGGGTAAAGCCAGACTGGATTTATTGCACGTTAAAACTGATCGATGACCGTCTCAGACCGGTGGGCTGGAAACCGCCTTCCCCAGGCCCGCCTGGCTGCTGGCCTTTCCCTCTGCGGCTGCGGGAAGATGCCCAGGGCCGGCCCTGCTGCGTTCAGAGGAACCACCAGGCCGAGCTGCTGCCGTCCAACTGAGGGCTCCCGTCTTGGGAAGGGGGGCGAACGGAAGCGGATTCGCAGCTCGGCAGCCGGAGAACCACGAGCGGCGAAGCCGAGGATCGCCTGAATGCCACTCAACGCGAGGGGCCGCTCTTCCCCGGCTCTCCTGCGTTCCCACGTCCGTGGCGCTGGCACCTGCGTTTCGGGCGCGGGTAGCCTCTCCGCCTGCCCGGCCGGAGCCCGGCTTCCTGGCTGGAGTTCAGCCTCGCTTCTCCCTTCCCTCTTCTGAAACGCCTTAGGACTCAGACGACCTGGGTTTCAGTGGGGTTTCAGAGCGGAGGCCGGGCGGGGAGGGGTTCTGGACAGGCGGGCTTGGCGCTGCTCGGTCAAAATTCTGGAGCCGCGTTTCCCTCCTTTCATATGGGCAGCCAGATGGGGTAGCGAGCTGGCACGCTCGGCAGACCAGGAAGCGCGTCTGAACGGATGGCATGCAAAGAACGGACCGAGTGGGAGCCGTCTGCCTGCGGGGCAGGGGCTCCAGGTCAAGGCCAGCCACCCTGTAGGTTCAAAGGTTGCTTGCCCAGGAAGGTGGCCGTCCCTCTGGTGAGCGCCTCCCTTTGCAGCGCCCCTCTGGGGTCAGCGCTGGCTTTTCCCTGCTGCGCTGCCTCGCCCGGGTGGGGAGGGGCGGACTGTGGGATTCCCTTTGCTTTTCTCCCTCGGGCTGCAGGCTGTCCCTTCCCACAAATCCCGGGGGGGGGCTCTGCTGCTCATTAATGGTGCTGGCATGAATGGCTGCCCTGGAGAAGAGAAGGTTCCTCCACTCCTGTGTTCTAGAAGCCCCAATGGGGACTCAGCAGGGAGGGGCTGACTGAGGCTTTGGAAGGGAGACCTTTCCTTGTGCAACCCAGGGACTCGGCCTCTGCCCCGAGGAGGGATCAGCCCTGAGGATCGTCCAGGAGGCATCAGGCAGAGAGGTGTCTTCTCTGGCTGGCAGGGAAATCCCTTTTGGGCTCAAGATCACATCCTGATTGCTTTCACGCCTCGGAGCTGAAAGATGCTGCGAGGAGACACGCAAGGCTACAAGTCCCTTTTAAGAAATACGAAGGAGAAAATCTCCGTCTGTTGACTGGAAAGACTGGAAAATGAAGCCCCTTCTCCTGCTCCCTCCCCCTCCCCATTACACTTATGTCGCAGTCCTTTGTGTCTCCTTGACTGGCATGCTAGCCAGATGTTCTGCAGCACAATGGATGCGGTCCAATCCATTCCATGCCCTCTCCGTGGTGTGCAACCTATTCATGAGTGCCTGTCGTTTAAGCAGGAGCTCTGGTGCTTTCTTGCAGCCCCTTCCTCCCTCTGCTTCTCTGCCTTTAAAAAAACGATTTCTGTGATAACAAAGTTTTGCATAAAGGCACATCCTTCATGGCCCAAATGGGCTGCAGCATTGCTAGTCTTACAATAAGCGTATGAAAAAGCTCCAATTCAATTTCCTGCCCTGGCCAGAGAGTGGTTTTAAATTCATTTGCAACATAATTTATAGAGATGGGCACAGAGGCCCACACATCCTTTGGCAGCCAAGCCAGGAGGCCTGACCCGGGCCAGCAGAGCCTCAGCAAGAGGAAGTATGTGGGTCTAGTGTAGTCTGTCCTACAGAGTCTTTCTAGCTGGCTCTGCCTGGGTGGTCAAAGCAGCCAAAGCAGCAGGACTGCGCTGAGAGGCATCTGAGGAGGCTCTCCAGGGTCGTGGAACACTCTCCCAGGGCTTGCCACGGGTGGCCACTCTCTAAATACATTTGGTGTGAGTCCTGTCTCTCCATGGTCAGTCGCCCCTCAGGACCCCTGAGGAGGAGGAGGAGAATGGCCGCTTGGCCCCCAGCCTGCTGGGCCGCTCTGAAGCACTTGCTGAAAGATCAACATGGCTGGCAGACCAAGGGGTCTCCCTGCCACTCCTAAAGTGGTGGGCACCAGGAAGAGGGGAGCCCAGTTGCCCCTAGGAATGGCGTGCTGGCCCAGGGGCTTCTTCGGAGAGGCCAAATGCCGTCCTTTTCCGGGAGAGACAGAAAACGGGCCACGGCCCTGAGTCCGGTTCCCCCTGGCCTGGCACTTGTTGGGCTCTTGGCTGGAGGGGCTCCCTTGGGGAGCATTTGGTGGCTGCTGGACTTCATGGCTCTCTCCTTTGCCCAGCTTCCCCCTGGGCTTCCCTTTCAGAAGATCAGCCTCTATCTGCCCGCCCTGGGAGAGGAGAGGGAAAGCAAGCAGGAGTTGCCTAATGGGAGGAATGGAAGGTGCCCCTCCCATGAGGAAAGACCATGCGGGGGGGGGGGGAGAGGGCGTCCAGCTACTGCTGGGAGCCTGCCACCCAAAGGGATTGCTGCAGGCAGGCACTCTTCTCTAGTTTGGGGTCTGATTCTCCTTTCTTCCCTCCCCCCCCCCGCATTCCTGGCTTAAACCCCGCCCTCCCCCATTTTCCTTTGTTCTCCACCAAAGAACTGGAAAAGAACTGGAGAGGCTGCACAGTCCCAGGGACCCCTCAGTTGCCCTGAAAAAGGAATTACCTAAACAGGGGCCTGAATTACTTCTTCTTTCCCATTGTGGTTTCTCCCCCCCCCCCCCAGATTGTTCCTTCAGCAAGCCAAGGAAGTGAGTTGAGCCCAGCTATCATCTCTGCTATTTGGGATGCTTCTGCTTCTGGAGCTTTGGGAAAAGATTAAGGGTCAGCCGGAGACCCTTCCCTCCCCTCAGGAGCAACCAACCTTTCTGCCCCTCCTGTGGGCAGGGCCCTCACAGACCCCTCCCTCCCCTCTCTGACCTATTCAGGGCTTCTTCTTAGCTCTGGCAAAGACTCCCAGCAGTCATTCCCTGCAGCTTGAAGTGGCTGAAAGACCCTGGACAGGCTGTTGAAACCCTGAGCCCAGCAAGGTGTCCACTAGAGGCAGCCAGGAGGGCAGGAGGTGGCATGAATAACTAAAAGCTTCTGCTGAAGAGGCCCTTGAGAGATGAAAGCGGTTTTCTACAGACAGGAACTGCCTGGAAAAGGCATTGCTTGCAAACTGGAGCATTGCTCAATTTCCTTGTAGTGCTGGAAGGGGGGGGGCTGCGGCAAATGGGGGTCACCTTAGAGCAGAGCTTCCGAAGGGGGCTTCTGAGGGGGGCAAATAGGTTGGGAGGCCTAGGAGTGGGTTGAGGTGGGGACAGGGGGCTGCATGCCTTTGAATTCCCCTCCCAGCATCTATTGTTGCCCTCAAGTGGCTCTGCCTGCTGATGTTCCCCCGCCCCCGAAACTGGAAGCACACTCGGGATGGACTAAAAGAGGGGAGGGAGAAGGCAGAAGGAAGGCTACTCCATTGGATCTGGGCCAAGCCATGTCTTCCCCAAATATCCTGAGAGAGCAAGGCCAACTTTAAGCCAGCTTTGGCGAATAATCCTTTTTTGAGTTACAATGCTGATTTCCTTGTAAAAGAGCTGAATTGTGTGGCTCAGACACACATACACACATGCAAGGGATTCAAAATGTGCACTTCTGAATGGAGGGCACCCAGATCTGGCAAATGACCAAGAAAGAAGACCCAAGGGAAGCCCAGCAACATGGTCTTTGTGCGTTTAAAATGGGGTCCGCATGACATTAGCCTAGATAGGAATGGGGTCTCCCCCTGAAGAAGTGACTCAGTGAAGGAAGGAGCACCCACATCAGCGGTGGCAGCTTGCAAGGGGCCAGGAAGTGACGGGCCAGGTGTCTGTCCAAGGGGGGCCTCACTGGCCTTGAAGACAAAGACTTCTCTGTTAACCCCCCCCCCATCCTATAAGACTGGACACACGCGAGCTGGACCAGCAGCGCAGAAAGGTTGGTCCAAAGCGCTGCGCTCCCCACCTGTCCGGCCCGCTCTGAGTCCGCGTCTGGAGAGGAGCGCCTGGCTTTGCCTCTTCAGCGCTCGGCCGGGCGGAGGTTTAGGAAGTGGGCAGGGTGGCCGCGGGGGCCCCTCCGAAAAGAGCCCGAGGCTGGAACTGTGATTTGTTCACTGTTGGGTTCCTCCCGCAGAAGCCCCTCGCCCAGGCGCGTGCCCAGCCTTGTCAGTGGATCTCTTGGCGGGCGCGGGACTCTCTGCCGCTAATTGGCCGGGCAGGGCGCCTGCGGCCCGCAGCGAGCAAGCGGCCAATTAGGGACTCCCCGACGGGCCCGACTTCTGCCGCTGCGCGTTAATGAGCGCCGGAGCCCAGCTGCTGCTGAGCGCGGCTCCTTCCCTGCTGTCCCGCGTCCCCCCTCGCCCTGCTGGTCTGGAAAAGGCCCCGCCGCCTCCGCCGCCCGGCTGCTTCCTGTGAGCCGCCCGCCGAAGCGAGGGCCAAAGGGGCGCGGTGTGAAGGGCAGCTGGTCTCCCGATCGTCCGAAATGGGTTGGGATGCCAGAAGGGGGATTGGGCAACGACAATGCGCCCCCCCGCCCCAAGGGAGTAGCCCTAGCCAGAGTAGCCCCTCCCAAACCCCTCGGAAATGTTTCAGAAAGATCTTGGGGCTTTAGAATAGATCTTGACAGTAGTAATTAATAGTTCATTAGTTTGGTACTCTGTGAGTTAAGAAAATACAACTTTGGGGAGTTTACCCCCTTCGAGTTTCCTGGATCTCTGGAATTCAGCTCCTGGAAGGCAACATTGCAAGGGGGGGCTGGGACCACCTGCTTGGGACCCTTCCACAGAGCCTCCCTTGTCCCAGGAAGAGAGCAGCTGCATCCAGAGGGCTTCTTGCCTCTCCCAATCCAAACCTCCCTGGGAGGGGGAGGCTGGCCCCTCCAGGCAGAAGGGCCTTTGCAGTCAGCTTGGTGGTGGCTGACCCCCTCCTGCCTCCCAGCTGGCCTGGGCTGCTTTCTCTTCTGCCTGAGCAGCTGCTCAGCAGGCCAAGGAACTGCTCTCCTCTGGCGCTGCCAGTGCTTATGAAAGATTCAGAGACAAGCCCTGGGCAGGGTGTGCAGAGGACTGCGACCACTTGCTCAGAAGAGCAGGAAGAGCAGCAGATGAGGAAAGCGTTGGCCCTACAGAAGCTGAACCAGCCCACCGAAGGCCAGCCCCCCCCCCCCAAGCCTTGTGTTCCAGGCGGATCAGCCCTTGGAGAAGCAGAGAAACAGTTCTTCTCTCTCAGGCAATGGCGCTGACGGAAGCCCCCTCCCAGCAAATAGGGAAGGAGAGAGGCAGTGAGGATCAGCCCTTGGCCAATGACCTTGAGCCCAGTGGAGATCCTCCATGGCCAGAACTCTTGAGTCCACCCATTTCCTTTCTAAGTTCCACCCACTCATAGGCCCTACCTTTCAGGCTCCTCCCACTTTTGTGAATCTGGAGCTGAGCCATCTTCAGCTGCTTTTGTGACATTGAATGCAAATGACTCCTTTTTAATTATACGATTTTGATGCCATTTTAGTCCAATTGGACTCTAAATAATGCACATCAGAAAGTCCCCATCGCAAATAACAAATTCTCCTATCAACTATTTCAAAACTGTGTCAGTTGGATTGTGCCTCCAAGGCAGGCCCAGCCCCTCCCAGCTCAGATGCTGCATCCTTGAACTGGCCATGGCTGAAATCGTCACCAGACATAAATGATGGACACTTCCTGATTTAGAGGACTTCTGAAATGTTTTCTTCTGCCAAGGTTTTTAGGCAGTAACAGCAGTGAAGAGCCTTGGATCTTGAAATGACCTTCTGAAATAAACAGGTGGGTTGTGTACATAGCAGTGTTCCAGTATCTCAGGGGTTGCCACAAAGAAGAGGCAGTCAAGCTATTTTCCAAAGCATCAGAAGGCAGGACAAGAAGCAATGGATGGAAATTAATCAAGGAGAGAAACAACCTGGAACTAAGGAGAAACTTCCTGACAATGAGAACAATTAACCAGTGGAACAACTTGCCTCCAGAAGTTGTGAATGCTCCAACACTGGAAGTTTTTAAGAAGAGATTGAACAACCATTTGACTGATATGGTATAGGGTCTCCTGCCTGAGCAGGGGGTTGGACTAGAAGACCTCCCACTCTGTTATTCTATTCTATTCTGTTGAGGGAAGTCAGCCCCCCAGAGAAGAAAATATTAAAAGGGCAGAAAAATATATTTCCTCAAAAGGATTTTAAAAGCAGAAGCCAACCCTGCCCCCAAATCTCTCTGTCCCAAGCAGAAGCCAGCTCTGTACAAATGCAGATGAAAACCATCAGAAAGGCCCCAGCTAGGAGATCAAGAAGACAAAGACCTAAAATCTGCATACCCCACCTGAGATGGGACATAATAGGACTAACCCATCACCATCAAGAATACCAGAGAGGCACACCTAGACTCAGGTCAGAATACGTGACACAGGAAATAGCCTCAAAGTTCATGCCACAGGAACAGAAAACCATTCCAAACAAAAGGCTTTCAGAGGGTATAAAAGCCTACTCGCCACCACATGTGCTCGGCCTTTTATGTCATCTCTCACTTGCCAGAACCATCTTTCTGTCTGGCCCTTCAATAAACTGCAACCTTCTTTCTAAAGCAGTTGCCGTGTTATTTATTTATCCCCAGCTTGGGTGAACCAGGATGAAGATTTTTCTTTCAACACTGTTCTGTTCTGTTCTAGTCATTTCTCCCCAGCCACAACCTCTCTGCATAGCCTAGCAGTTCAGGCCATGGAAAGCTCCCTCCTCTGGGTCAGCCGTTCTGCCTGCCTCCTTCCCGGGAGCAGGTCCTTTCAACGGAGCCTCTAGGTTTCAGTGTTTAATATCTAAATTTAACTCCCCTTGGCATCTCCATCTCTGCCCACACAAACACACACAGATGCACACACACACACACACCACCCTGTAACCTTCGAGGCTTTCCAGAAACAGAACAGGCACCCTCCAAAAAGCGCAGAAGGGCATTTTAGGGAAGGGCAGCTATTCAGCTCAGCAGCTGCCTGCGGAAGGGAGACAGGCTGCCTGGGGCGGTGCTGCTGCTGAGATCCAGCAAGGAGTTGGATTGTCTGTAGTGGGCGATGGGCAAAGATTCTGAGAACCTGCTGGTTTTGAAACTCAAATTCTTTGCGGCTGGCAGCACAGCCCTCAATTCCCCCTTCATGGCAAGCAGTGACCAGAGAAGTGACTTCAGAGCTGTTTCCCTTCCTGGCTTCATTTTCAGCCCCCCAATTCCCCTTGAATCTTGGCTTCAGGGAAATGTGAGGGTCCCCTTGGCTCCATCTGAGAAGAGCCCAAAAATGCCCCAAAGAGCCAAAGACGAGGAGTTC